ATCAATTTCCATTGGCTCTGGGCTAGACGTCCGGGGATGTTGTGACGCTGCGTGCAGGTACGACGACGCGACAGTGTAATCCTCACGAAGCGCGAGGGCAAATGCCTCCTCGAGGGACTTTGGATCAGCACGTGTGAGGCAGTAACGCGTCATGCCCTCTTGCATACCAAAAATAAAGACATGGACTTGTGAAGCCATGTCAATTGGCTGCGTGGTAATGGACGAAGCAAGATGACGTGTCTTCTGCACGTAGTCACGCATCGACAGCTTGCCCTGTCGGAGTGAGAAGAAATCTGCACGCAAGCGAGATTCATCTTGAGGAGGCTCAAAAGACAGTCGTAAGTCACGCTGTATATCGTCCAGCGTAGGAAACGCCGACTCATCTACGACGAGCTTTCCGAGAGCCCATTCCTTGGCTTTGCCGGCAAGGCGAGACAACAGGAAATTGACCTTGGCCGTCGGAGCGTCAATTAATCTTGACGCTATTGCAATATCCACCTCGCGAAACCAGCGATTGAGGGGGAGACGATCCGGACCATCACCGGAGTACGTTGACGTCTCCATCTTGATAGCATCATGGTGCGAAGTGCGCGAGGGAGTCAATACTCGCCGATTCGCTTCGGCGAGCTCGCGCACCATAAAGTCTTGGATGGCGGCACGTTGATCATCAGGCGTCGCTGTGCTCAGCAGCGACATCACAATAGTTTCGCCAGACACCGCCGCGAGGCGATGTAGTGCCTGCCACTCCACCGAGGTGAGATGTGAAAAATCAGAATGCTCCAGAGAAACCGCTGGATCCACCGAAGACTAGCCCATGTTCATCTCGAATCTGGTCATTGGAAGGACTACAAAGTGCTACCAGGTGTAACGGGCTAAGGACCCGTTACCGTCTTACCCTAAAAGGGCGTTGAGGAAGCGCTCTTAATTAACTCGTAAATATAACTCTGTTTTATTTTTTGTTTTAATTCGCAGTAAGTGCGAATATGTTCCCTAGCACATGGGAAACCACTCAATATGGAAGTCAATTTATTATTGGCTAATTATTGGGTCTGGCACCCCAATAATAAACCAATAATAAAATGACGCGCAGTATCCGCTAATCGGATACTGCCCTATGCCTACTTATGTAATTATGTATTAATCCTATAACTACTCATGTAATAGGTTGCCCCATTACACCTGAAGTAGCTCGGCATGAGCTTGTGCCGATACACCGGCCTCCTCCGACATTGCTCGATGACCAGGGGAACCTTCAGTTCCATGTAGAATTACAACTGCAGAAACTTCGCCGCCATCGTCAAAACCAGTATCTGGTGAAGTGGCGTGGATATCCCGAGTCGTGGAACTCATGGGAGTTCGAGGCTCCCCTACGTCAGGATTGCCCCTACGCCGTGGACGTTTTTGAACGTCTTGCGCAGGGACAACCTATTGGCGATGACGCTTCTCACCAGTAGGGGCGGGAGTGGGAGAGCTCACGGCAGGGGTCTGCTGTAATTTGCGGCTACAGTCGTAACAGAAATACTCAAATCTTGAATGGCTAGCGCAATAGCGTATTCGTTGTTCCGCAATCGGCCTTGGGCCTTTAGCTTGGCGTACTCAAAATCGCATTTCCGTTCCAGACGGACGTCTACCACACTGGAATTGCGCGAAGAGTCCACATGTTTCTCAAACGCCGCACATAATGTGCTCAGTAGACAAAAGCGCTATCTTCTTCATTTCTCGTCTCGCCTGCGAATAGCAATATCGAATCTCCCTTCATGGGAGGGATAGATGCACCCCGTGCTTGCCTATATAGACGTGCCTTGTAGTGGCTTATGTGGTGGGGCAGGGGTATTAACTGTCTCTAGGAACCTTTGGCGAAGAGCCGCTCGCGCGGCGAGCTCCTCGGGCGTAGTAGCATCCGGTTATATGGACCATATACCCAGCTAATGGCCTCAGGCCTCATGAAGACGCTTTCTAGCGGATCGTGGGTCAAAGACATAGTCTAGATGACGTTGGAGTTTGGACATAGCTGTGTGGAGCTTGCCTCCGCTTGTAACTGCTGTACCTGTTGCTCATCGAGCGGGTTCGTGACCGTGAAATTGGACGTTTCGTTAGACGCTTATCGCAACAAAGCTAGTATGGCAGCGACACCACTTTCGAGAAATGAAGACGGTTCATGACGAGAGTCAACATTAACAACAAGAGAGCTAGGCTATCCTCTGCATCATCCATTAATTTTGTGTCCCTCTCGTAGTCCATCATGACTTCAAGACTAGGGTGTTAAGAGTTTCGCACTAATGGCGAGGCGTGGTAATGTGCGTAGTACTTTAGGAAACACGTTCGATGTTTGTACACTCCGCAAACCTCTTGGAAGCAATGTGCCGATTCTAGGTGTAACATCAATTTTTGGGGGAGATTGTAACGGGGTTACACGACGGTTGGAACATCATAATAAAGGTACATCATGATTGAAGTTTTTATATTGCATATAATGTATTCTTATTACCGATCATTTCAAAAAAGATGGCATTTTATATGAGTGATATTATAAGGTACTAGTTATACCTTATACTATCGGTATCAGCTCCATAAATGATACAGTAGTACTAAGTACAACATATACTGATGATTAGATGATTCCATATCCGGATACAGACGATGGCATACTACGATTATATTAGAAGTAATTAATATAGTGTTGGGTACTTGAAGTAGAATTATTTATAAAATCTTAATGCATAAATAAAACCAGTTCTCAATTTGAGTCAAAGTTCACGAGTCTCTCTAAGACTTGTTTTCTTGTGCACTTCGTGTGTGGGTTCTCTTAACCTTTATGCTCCTAGCTTGTTCTTGTACTCTGTGCGTTGTTATCTGAACATTAAGCTTATGGCTTGTAAAATAGAAGTCTCCCCTAGTTCCTTATAACAGCGTGACTCTTTAGTCGTTTGATTAGTTCCTTAGAACTATGTGGCGCTAAGTTAAATTATAGTCCATTACAACAAAGCGGCTTCAAACCTTAATCTATTTAAAGTATTTAATTCTAAGTAGGCTTTCAGCCTATAAGTCTTCCTTGACTTAACTAGCTACGTAGCTCCGCTACAGAATGTATGCTCAATATGTTTCTGATTGTGGGTGCAAGTAAAGGGGTAATGAATGTAATATAAAAGGGGCCTGATAAGCTAAAGCAACAGGCTATGAAAAGTATGTACCTATTACGCACAATGGCTTCTTTTGAAAGTCATAATTTGTATGCGGCAATTAAACGGCGCACAAATGTCATTTATGTGCTTGCCACCAAGGCTTTTTACGCAGTCCATTCACCCCGCGGCAAGACGTAGCAATCTCGCACACCAACTGTTTGTAGTAAAGGGCTTTTCAAACTTGAGGAAACTGGAGGCCAGTTGGACTGAAGGATTAAGGGACAGCGCACCAGGGAGAAGAGCCGGAGAGAAAGGGAGTACAGGGTGAAGCGACCGTTGGCTGAGACCGTTGTCTTAGAAAAATTTGCAAGGACAGCAGAGGAGAGACCATTGCCAGATATTCGGATAAACAGTACCGAAAAATACGTCCGCGGTTCTTCGTTAGAAGAACCGGTCCCCCAGCGGTAGACCTGGGTTCCTCATTGAGAGATGTCAGTTTTTCATTATAAAAAGCGGTCCTCCAGCGGTAGACCAAAGTTACTTGGTTGGTTGTAAGTTTATTGAGGATGACTTAAGGGCTCATTGAGAGGCCTCAGTCCCTCATTGGAAGGCCTGGTTTCTCGTCAGACGTCCATGGCCTCTCCCCGGTATACCTGGGACCTCACTGGAATACCTCAGTCCCTCGTAAAAAAAGACCTGGTCTCTCGTCCGACGACCTCGGCCCCTCTTTGGTAGATTCGGTCTCTCATCGTCAAACCTGGTCTCTCAGCGGTTAACCTGGGTTCCGTATCGGTAGATTCGGTCTTTCATCGGTGTCCCTAGTCTCTCGTTGGACGGCCTCGGCCCCTCATCGGTAGACCCGGTTCCTCATTGGTAGACTCCACCCTTCATCGATAGGCCCGGTCTCTCGTCGAACTATCTCGGCTTTTCTTCGGTAGACCTGGGTCCCTCATCGGTAGACCTGTGTCCCTCATCGGTAGAACTTGGTCTCTCCGTGTTGATCTACTCCTGACCAGCACGAGGAATCAAGGACAGTCAACACAAGGGGTTAGGGATTTAGGCAAGTCTGAATCTTTCCAGGGCGATACTCTACCAGGGAGCACTTGCTTTCTCTGGTAGAGCGCTGAAAGTCAATGCCATCGGATCTTACATCTTGAGACACACTATAAGTGATGTGGCTTGTAAGGCTGATACGTCGTAGGAGCTACACTCATTCAAAAAGCTGGTCTGATAGCACTTTTGCGTGCTGCATGTTGTGTAGATGGGCACTTTAAAGAAGATGTCACGCGCTACGCTAGCACACACCTACAAACACGCAAAGAAGCGATTAAACCGTCTAACTTCCGTGCGCGGTGGTGGGATGCTTAATTAACCATTTAAGCTGTCGCACCAACGGTTGCTGGTCGCCGAAGTGAGCCTCGCAACGAACTTTATAGCAAGTGCATCACTTGCGGCACGCAGAAGTTTATTTAGCTTCTTCTAGGCAGTGAGCAATAGTTAGCAAATTCAAGATTGACTTAATTTGATAGAAATTAGTTAGATATCACTCTAACTACCAATAATTTCAATATACAAAGATCGGATACGTGTCTCTTTAGAAGCGCATTCCTACGTCGAGCTTGGATATATTGAAGACCGCTGATGACGTCCGTCTGTGATGTCATCATGACGCCTAGTTTCATTGCCCTTGAAAGTGAATCCATTCATGGATATCACATTCACGAACCTCACAAAAGTGGGACACACGTACCCGTTTAGACCATTGCGTTAAGTATATGATACTTAACGGATACGTACCCGTTACATGTTGTCTCTATCAAAACTTACTTCAGATAACCGGTTCGCGCCATTTCACAAAACATACCCGCCATATTCGCCATGCCGAAGCACGAGGAAGTAATAATCGATGGCGACTCAACCGATGAAGAGGAGGAAGTGCGCATCATCACTCCAGAGTCACGTAAGCGTCGCCGTCGCTCCAACATAATGACGGACCACGACCAAGACGAAGAAGAAGAAGAAGAAGAAGAAGAAGAAGAAGAAGAAGAAGAAGAAGAAGAAGAAGAAGAGAAGGAACAGACCAAAGACCAAGAGAAGAAGAAGACGAAAGAGACGAAGACATTAGCACGTTCGTCTTCTATCCCACGGCGTCAGCAATTGCTTCATATAGGTAAAGACGGCATCTCCTCGCAGTATATGACGCTACGTACGCCGACGCCTGTGCGTCGCTCGCGTCGGAACCTGCAGCAGATTTCGATCTCAGCTGCTATAGCTCATGAAGATCGTGGACGGCACTATAATCATGATGAAGACAAGGGAAAGGACGATGATGATGACGTTTACATCGTCCATCCACCGTCTGCCAGATCCAAGACGAGCAACGGACGCAAAAGCCGACGTGTCGCGATCCAGGACAGTGACGAGGTACTCGTACCTACTGCGAAAGAGCAGGACGAGGAGAAAAACTTTGAGAAGGAAAACAGAAACGATGATGCGATGTCGTCAGCATCTAGACGCAGCTCAAGAATTCAACACAATCGCCAGGAGAAGAAAGCACAGCACGGTAGTGCAAGGAAGCTCGCTTACCCGGTACTGGACAACTGTCTGGACAATATACAGAGTTTAGGTCCGCATTATCAAAATGGAGACGATGATGATGATGATGATGATGCAGAGGACTCGGAGCAAGAAGAGGCTGTTGCACCGCCATCCGAGAAGAGAAGACGGCCGCTCCCACGAGAGGGAGAGCGAGATGATCGTGAAAGAGTTTACGCGGATGGTGGAGAGGATGTAGACGATTTTATTTGTGACGATGATGAGATTGAGTACATGGACGACGATGAGGAAGGTGTGATCAGTATTGGGATGCCAGATGACGAGATGGAAGACGACACCGAAGAACTGACAGCAGCACTGGCAGCAGGACGCTCGCGCGAGATTAACGAATGGTTTAGTATCTACCTGGCATATCTAGAGGAGTGCATCATTGATCCAGACTTTGAGAACAAAATGCGTCGTAAACGATCGAAGGCAAAGCATCAGCTCTATGACCAGGCTGTCAATCGCGTAAGTATGTTTTGTTCAGCTACGAAATATATAACATCGCTTGCTTACGTATTCCTTGGTGTTTAATCTACAGATTGAGCGAAAACTTTGTTCCTGCCGGGATAGCGTGCGATCAGGTGTTGCATGGCCTGAACGAATGGTGGATGCGCTAAAGTGTGCTTCGCTTTTTCGCTCAAGCCATGTCTCTACGGAACAAGATTGCGAGGTCTGCAACCGTCGCCAGCATGTTGCTACCTGCCACGTAGAACTTGCCGGCGTGGCCTGTGATGCTACAAAGCTTTACGGTCATAACTGGATGCGCCAGTACGTTTGCAAAAAATAATTTCATACTGCCTGTTTGAAGCGCTAAGTTTTGTGTTTTGTAATGATCAGCCTCAAGGAAACTACCAAGGAGGCAGCCTCTGTCCAAATTGCGTTTGAAATGGGCAGCGTATGCCATGCAGTAAGATTTGTTTTTGCCGTATCGTCTTGTGGGATAGATAACGAAAGCTAATGGTGTTTGTTATGGATAATCGGATGCAGCGAACATTAGCATATTGGCAATTGTTGCATGCGAAACAATTCTGGTGCATATTGGTTGACGCGAAGATTAAGAAGTGTGCAGATAGCACGGGGCGAATCGCTGAGCAATACCGCAATGAATTCTTTACACAAGAATTCGGTCGGTACAAAAGGTTAGTGGGCCTAGTGGAAAAGTTCGCTGAGGATTCGAAGCGAGTATCTGTGTATATGCCAAACGTTTGGAAACGAATTACACGGCACAACATGACAAGTGATTTTCTTCCGCTACTATCCCGTGCGTCAATATATACAAGCGCAGAGTCTCGTCGAGGCACACTAGATGCGTTTGTCGCTGAAAGTGAAGAAGAGGACCCTGAGGATGAAGAAGCAGTAATGGAGAAGAGGGAAGAGAAACAGCGAGTGGATACATGCGAAAATAATGATGACAATCAAGCCACTGATGAAGAACAAAAAGTAAAGAGGAGCTCATCACTTGGTACACCTCACTCGAAAAGAAAGCAAGAACAGAGTCTCGAGCTAGCCGCGATCGGAGATGACGAGAAGGGCGACAACCTTGTCAAGCACGAAAAAGACATCGACGACCTCATGTGCTTGGCATGTGACGCAAGCCAACGCGATGCGGGCGTTGTGCACGGTCTCTATCTTCACGTGTATTGCTGCTACGCCTGTGCGAAACGCCAGTACCGAATGAAAGTCGGTTGTTTGGTGTGCAGCCGACCCATAGACCGTGTACTACGGTTGCTTCCGCTCACGTTAAACGCTCGAAACGCTATTCGAAACCAGAAGTCGCAGAATGGAAGGATGTTCAAGTGAGGCAGCAGGATGAGACAAAGAGCAGGAATGTGTATTGGAGTAACAGCGGGAAGTTATGTGCTGGTTGTGTCAACGATTTTAGCGCTCGCTCTTTGTCCCTCGTCGTAGTCGAAAAGGTACAGCACCTGATTGCGGCCAGCAAACGGCAGGAATGCGCTTTGAACTGATGGATGCTTTAGTAGATATCTTACGAATGTCTCGTACGTGTCGACAAGTGTGCCATCACGGCATTGGCGATTTGGAAATGCCCGGCTCATCACGCAACAAGGCACAACGGCAAATGGCTTTCTTAGCGTCATAGCAGCGTCAACAATAGCTTCAGTGGCCTCGTCTGGGTGCATGCCAACGAGAATAGAGCAGTGTGTGAACAGCTCCTTTTGCAACTTCAATGTTTCGTCATCGAGGCAGCGGAGCAATTGAGGGCTCATCTTGCGACCGTCAGCAGCTTGCGCCTTAGCAACAAGTTTTCGGTTGTATTTGTCAAGTTTCTTGGGTCTCTGAGGTGCACAAGAGACAAAGATAAGATACGCCGCATTCAACCACCTACAGAAGGAAGTCCATCAATGTAACATCTGCAACCTACCGGGTCAATTAGCGTTGTCGGAATACCTCGTTGAATCCAGAGTTGTATCGGGATATCACCTTTACCACCAGCTACATCAACAACACCCGTTCCTGAGGCAAGATGTTCATCTCCTAAAATGTCCACAAGCCAATCGCAGAAGATGCGACTACGTTGCGCCTTGTCGATTTTGGAGTGAGGATCGCTACTATCACCTGCCAGTTGTGCAGCTTTTGCACGCTGTTCGAGCCGCTTCGCCATCCAGCGGCGTCGATTTTGTTTAAAATCCGCAGGCTGTCCATGCCAAAAGTGGCATTGCTCTCCACGCAGGCAATTGGCACCATCCGAGGACGAGAAATAGTACTTGCAGGTGTTGAAGCCGTTCATTACAACCATGTTGGTGTATTATTTGCTGCCCTGCCTTAGCAACAGTGCAATACGTAAGAGCACTTACGTTAACTCCATTGCCGTACTTGCAGAGACTGTCGAGCTGCTCCTTTCTGTCATCTCAAAGATCCTTCAAAAGCGACTCCCCATGGCTGCGAAGCTTAGAAAATAGCAGAACCATCTTTTGCAGCATGCGTTATTTTTGGAATCACTTGTCGACTAACTATCGCCAAGAACTACGACGTTGCGGTTGTCATTCTCCTTATTCCGTCAGATGATAAGACGATGTTGGACTATATCGCATCGCGGTATGACCAAATAGTAGTTGACGACCGCTTTTCGCCTTGAGGTCTCCCACTTTTGTCAGTCTTGAAAACCTCCAGCAGCTCTCTAGTCCTCAAACAAGTAACGCGTAATATGATTTACTATGACACGACGCACTTGTGGGCTGTACTGATGCGATGGCATGGTTCTGCATTGAATGGGTACGCTCCAATGCGTGCGCTGATCATGGCAATGATTGCGCTTGTTGTTGCAGTTCTGAACAACTATCACCCGTTTGTGGTTTCCACGCGTGAATCAACGGCGTTCACAGATTCCTTGACAGTGTTCAATACGTTTCTGGGACTTATCGTATCATTTCGCATGAATTCAGCCTTTACTCAGTGGCGTGCTGGAGTTGTAGCCGTTGGCTCTCTTTCTGAGACCGCACGTGACATCGTGAGCTCTGGTTGTGCGTATGTTAGCACCACGATAAAGACAGAAGTCACTGAGGCTGCGAAAAGTAGCAAAGATACGATGAAGACCCATCCAGAACCCCACTCATCGGGTGATCCAAACACATTGACGATTTCTCAGGACGTTCTTGAGAAGTGCGCATTTTGTACGGAGTTGCGAAGACTGGTTTTCCTGTACATTGCGATTGTATTCCATGGCTGTCGTGAGATAGATGGAATTGACAAGCTGAAGGAATCGGGCGTGTTGACCGACACTGAATATGACGAGCTATGCGCATGCGGCTCGGAGCACATTAGGCAAGTCGAGAACAAGGAGTCGTACCGGGCAGTCGTACGACGTACACCGCACAAATTGCGCGCCACCATTACGGAACTCTGGCTCAAGAGACTTGTGCAAGTTGCCACGAATAGAGGGCATTTGTCGCTACAAAACTCGAACAATTTACAGATGAAACTAGCGCGACTACCGAATTTGTACACGACGGTGTTTGGCATCGCCAACGTTCCGATTCCCTTCAACTACATGCAGTACCTGCAATTTCTGCTGACCGCGTACATGCTTCTCTACACGTTTGTAATTGTGCCCAGATCTGGATTATACACCCCGCTGTGGGTTTTCATGTGGGGTACTTTTCTCTTCATGGCAGATGAAGTTGCTATGGAAATTGAGTGCCCATTTGGACTCGATGCAAACGATATCGATCTAGAATCTCGGTTACTACAGATTGAAGAAGAGCTTACGGTGCTTATCCGTAGTCAGTACTACTTCGTTACGGGCGGCACAAGTCTGACGCGTTTATCAGAGATCATTGTCCCCGAGCGACACGAGTCTTTGAACAAACCGCCACTTCAAAGTGATTTTTCGTTTCACCAGGGTCGTATGTCTCCATCGCACAAGGCGATGCTTCAACAGGATTCTTTGCCTGAGATAAACGAGTTTACTACACTTATTCAATGTCCGAGCGTGACTAGCAGCAGCAGGGGAAACGAGTACGGGTCTGCGGATTATACGGCGTAGTAGTTTTATCCGACCAGTTAAATTTTGTGAAATAATATACAAAGTATTATTCATACAAGGTAATACTCTGTATATTAGTATTATTTTTGTACTGGTCATGATCTTGAGCGCCTTAATATTTACAGTGTAAACGGGGTTACACGAAGGTTGAAAAATTGTACTCAAAAAATTACGTTACAAGATCAGCACATTCAAACCTGGCGAGTGTTCTAATTTTTCATCGTCTCGGCCCTCGTCCGGCAACATTACGGCGTGCTTGGTGGGGTTGTACCATTGACGAATCAGATTGTAGACATCCTTCATCTGGCACTTTCCGACGTCGTAAGTTTCTCCACAGCCTCGGCACACAAACAAGCAGCGGTCCAACGGATGACCCTTCTTTCCACAGCGGTCACAGGTCAATCGCTTGAATTTTTCTACCCTTCCCACCTAAATTATTCGATCAGATTATCAACTTCACCATGGCATTCACATTGATGACTTCGTTTGTCTTCTCGGTGGTCTTGGGCTTTTTCTCCATCGCCGCTGCCAGTGCTCGCGGTCCAATTATCGGTGTCTTCGCGCATCCGAGCTCCCATTATGGCGAGTACATCGCGGCATCGTATGTCAAGTGGGTCGAGAGCGCGGGTGGTCGCGTGGTCCCCATCCCGTACAACGCGCCCAAGCCATATCTGGATCAGCTGCTGCCGCAGCTCAACGGCCTCTTGTTTCCAGGTGGAGCCGCTACCGTCAATGACCGCGCTGAGTGGCTATTCCAATTGGCGCTGAAGCTTAATGACAAAGGCGTGTACTTCCCTGTCTGGGCCACCTGTCTGGGTTTTGAGTGGCTTGTGCAACTTACTACGGGGGACGTGGAGTCTTTAAACAAGGGACTAGACTCAATGAACATCACTCTGCCTTCGAACTTCATTAAGGAAGCTCCGACCAGTCGGCTGTTCAGTCAGGCCAGTCCCGAGTTTTACTCGTGGCTCAAGGACAAGCCTATCACTATGAACAACCACAAGCAAGGCATCACTCTCGATAGGTTCAGCCAGTACTTATCCCTCACAAACTTTTACACTGTGTTGGCCACCAATGTAGATCGTCAAGGGGTTGAGTTCATTTCGGCTTTTGAAGCCAAAGAATATCCAGTCTACGCCGTGCAATTCCATCCCGAAACGAACAGCTTCGAGTACGGAGAATACCTGGACGGCACCCCTTACGAGGTGATTGACCACTCTCGTGAAGGCATCGCAAGTGGACAGTATTTTGCTAACTTTTTCATCAATGAGGCGCGGAAGAACGAGCTGCGCTTCAAGGACCCTAAGGTGGAGCGCAAAGCGCTGATTTACAACTATCAGACGTCTACTGTTACGTATCCGGGATTCGTCGAGTCATACATCTTCAAACACGACTTCAAGATGCAGTATTGGCGCGTACCGATGTAATGCAATTAAGTTGACGAGGAATGCTGACACGATGAAATCAAAAAGTTATCGGTTTGGGTATCCTCAGAATTTGACTTTATTACCAATTTGTTCTGTAGTTAGTTTGGTTACCCTTAACATTCGACTTTAATGCCAATTTCTCCTGGCCCACGATGAAGCTAATACACCTCAACCAAATGGAATTGCGCCTTCTTCGAAGCTGAAGACACAAACTTGATACCGAATTTGCCAGCAAGCAGTTGGACATCGTCACCAACTTTCAGCACGACCTGGTGCGTGGTATCTTCTTGCTTGTTGCTTGAAGCTTTGGTGATCTCCACTTCACAGTCGTCTAGCGCTACCAACACGGCTTCAGTTGGCAAGTTAAGTGCGATTTCAGCCTGGTCATCGTTCTGCAGCTCGAAGCCGTACACACGACATTCTGGATCGTTCTTAAAATTCTTGATTCCAGGGTGCAACGGTAAGTGTTCATTCGGCATGACATCAGCCTTTTCCTTAAGCAACTCAATCTCGATGAGAAATGCAGGCTTATCGAGGGTGGCCGCTGAATGGATCAACTTGTCTTTGGTGTGGTCACGACAGAAGACAGAGCCTTTCTCATGAACTAGAGGTCGTGGTTCCTCACCGTGAGGGTACTCCATCATATTCATCGGTGTCACCACCAAGTAGACACCGTATTTTAAGTGCTGGTGATACAAACACTTCGTATGCGGTGGAAAGTCCACGGCCACAAGACGCACGGTTCTCACTACGCCAGCGCTGCTTGTGGAGCGGCTCAGCCTCCACGGGCACGTAGTCCACGTCCACCTTGTCCGAAATCTGCATCGTCATTCTTTGTGTCAGTCGTTTACACAATGAATATACTACTCTTGCGTGAAGCTCTTGCTTGATCCTTGCGAGTTTATTGGATGAAACCTGCCGGCGACCGCCAGCAAAAAAAATTCGATTATATGATGCAATCTTTTAAGGTCAGCTCGCAGTATTGATTTTATATGATGCAAACCTTTACGGTCAGATTGCAGTATTCATTTTTATTGATGATTACTTTCAATTCGATGTGGTTATGGTGGAAACAGATTGTCGAATTACCGCTATTAAATTACAGAATTTTGAAAAGTCCGCAACCATTCTAGTACCCTAGGAGATGTCTACTCTCGTTTACGAGGGCTGTGCAGTACCGGCTGCCAGTTGACGATAATGTCTTGGAACATTTCTGTTGCTAGGCGAAGGTAGACGCCGATGCTCACATTCCTATATCCTCGTTACTCCTTGATAGCAACCACTCGGAGTTGGTGTAGAAGGACATGTTTGACTTCCGCTACCTCCTGCTCCTAGGACCCACTTGATACTTATGAATACTCCTGTTCCGCTGAATCCATAGCCTAGTCACGCAGGCGAAGTGAGCGATCCATCATATCCATTTCCAAGCGTTAGTTGTAAAGAGGGAGGTTATGGTCGTGAGAAAATGTATAAGGATTACTGGATACTCGATAACCTGCAGAGTAAAATGGGTGCGACTTTTGTTTTCTGACCGTTGGTTCTAGCTGTCAATAGTAGACAAGGCACTGCTATAGTATTACCTTGAACGCTATAAGGACACCATAGCGTAAATGCGTTAATTCCGAACTACAATACATATATTGCGCAGCAGTACGAACGCGAGTCAGCACTACTTGTGATGGTCACTAGTCGACTTACTGCGACGTCAGTATTAAGTTTTTGTCTAGACTGCATCTTTTCCTACACGAGTACGCTTTCTCTTTCCAGACTCCGATAAGCGGCGCGCTATTAGCGCCGCACTGAAGGCCTTCCAGGCTGCACGATCCTATGCACACAGACGATGGAGATACAGGCGACGGCGGTGTCCAGCGATAGGTTTCTTGCTTGGATTCCTTGGATGTCTATCTTGTCAACAGGTCTACCCAGGGAGGGTCTCTTTTTGCTTGCACCGGGAACAAAGAGTTCCGCCAGCGTACCTAAGCGGTGATGCCAGGAGTTCGGGCGTGGCGGCGTACATCGTGCTGCTGGCTGGCGGCTGCGGGTAAGAGCGGCAAGAGAAAGGTGTGTAGAGTGAGAGGCCCGTCAGGCCTTTGACGGATACCGCGGAAGCATCCGTCAAAGGCCTGAGCTAGCATCAAGCTAGCTCAAGCCTTGCGCACGTTGACTTCTTATGTGGCTCTCTCACTGTAAGGACAGGCAAAAGACAAAAAGATTGAGCACGGTGGCCCTTCATCGATTAAACAGCAATGCCGGCAGATCGTAAACTTTTCTAGTTTTAAGGATGTTTGGTAAGAACAAGATGTATGCACGTGAGATTCTGTCGACTTCTTGTGAATCGAAACAATTGTCTTACAGTGCTTGCAGGTATCATACTTCTGATTGAAGGGTTTTACAACATATATAAAGACCGAATAGAAATCATTCAAGGCACGACCTCTCTTAGAACTCCTAGTGGTGTTGTTTTCTGTCGGGACGAGAAGCTCATTCCAGGACGGTACAATTGAGTATGTTTCTTCGATATTGGTCGTATTTAGTTAGTTAGCGTATAACTACCGGAGGTTATAACTTATTGGAGGGTATACACGCGGAACATTTGAATAGACTAAATGATTACAATACTCTACAGAATTAGAATAAGTGAGTGTATCTAAAGTAGTTGGGCGCAAAACGGAAGATAAAATGCAGCAATTTTGTTGGCGTGAGCGCAATGAGAAGCTCAATTGGCGGCTACTAAGTACCTTTAACGTATCGGATGTTGTTCGCAGAGGTGACCCTGCTGTCTTAGAGCCGTATGCATTGCACGTGACGTTTGCTCGTTTGCCTGCGCCTTCAAAAGATCCGCCGACACGTGATGCCTGGTTCCTCGTACGCATTTTGCAGCTGTCAATGGAATATCTGCTCTTTATGCGCGCCAACGACAGCAATAAGCTGAAATTGTTGAGCCAGGAGCTGCGACAGGTCGAGAAGGAGCGAGATGTACTGCTTTTGCGCTCTCACAAGTTGAAGGCGAAGGTACGCAGCGGTAACGAGCAGGCGGAGAAGCTCCATCAGGTGCTGCAAAAGATTGCCACATTGTTGCAAAGTCCCGGGTAAAGTTGCCCGAATGATCATTGTAAATTTTCGTATTTTTCCGTATTTTTCATGGACTCATGGGTTCTTTTGTGTGTGTGTTTTTGAGGTTCAGAACTTCACCGTCGGTAGTAGCTAATATTGCAACGTTGCTGACGGAATTGATATCGGAGAGACAAGTAAAGAAAATGGGGAGAACACTTAGGGAAGAGGACGATAGTGGCGACGAAATGGACATGATGCTGGGACCTATTGGGCCTGAAGCACGAGCTTGTGAGTTTTATGGGCAAACATTTTCTTCGGTGAAGTTTTTGGAGAAGCATCGTGTAGGACGACATCGTGGAGAAAAGTATGAAGTGGAGACGCCTGCAAAACAGACGAGCCGGACTATTGATAAAGATAAGGAAAATACAGAGAAAAGCGTCGCGTCGCTGGCGTCTGAAGCCACGATGCAGGAAATGCTACAACGATTGGAGCGAGCACTGCAGCAACATGAAGAAAAACTGCGTTTGCTTGCTGGAGAGGAAGTACTGAAGATCAAGCAAATGTACGAGCAGCTGCATTCTGAGGCAAAGCTAGCGAGTGAATCTAGATGTGTCCAGTTGAGAGCTGAAGTACGCCATCAAGAAGTGCAACAACATTTGGATGAAGTCTATCTGCAGAAACAGAAGGCTGACGGGGAGCTGGCTAACCTGAAGAAACAGATTCAATTACTCACTTTGAAAAGGAAGATGATGGGAGCTTCGACTAATACGGACGTGCCCACTACGTTACCCTACAAGAGTGATGATGCACTAGCTGTTGTGGAGACTGAGATCAACGATCTACAGCAGAAACTACAAGCGGTGAAAGCTGAGCTGACAGTCTCACGAGAGGAACTGACAAAAGTCCAAGCCTTACTTTTTGTAGCTCTAAGGGAGAAAAAGGAACTAGCGGATACATTGGCTTTGTCGCGTGGGGTCGTTGCTGTTGTGAGCCGGGATCAAAGCGCTCGAATTGAGCTACCTGTGGTGATAAATAAGGCCGTCCAAACAGATGAAGAACGCAGTTCTCGGCAAAGCACGAGCGAGGTATCAATCAAATCGTGTGTTTCACATCTTAAGGACGCAGGAACAGATCCTTTGGCCTTAAGTTGCGATCATGTGGGTATTTCAGCAGTTGATTTGGTGGAATCACCGCAGATGGACATCATGGATGACTTCGATTCAGCGCTGGCACTAGCAGCCAGCTCTGAGGCACTAAAACCGATTTCTCAAGAATCAGTGATTGTGAAAGCTAGACAGGTTGCTGAAGATGCTGCACCTCATAATCTGATCATGACGAAAGATGACAATCGCATTTTAAACCATATGCACCAAATCTACAGACAGGATCTCCTTAACATTATAGCTGAACATGCGCAAAGGTAAGCAATTTAGGAAGACTATGAAAAGAAGGGGAACGCGTTCTGATTCATTTTCTTCGCTTTAATGTCTGTTTTGCAACTAGTGCGGCAAATAAGGCAGCGAATCATTCAGTAGCCCCGAAGAATTACAGCTCCCTCCCCCAGCACAAGTACATTCGAAGTCAATATCAACATGATGAGGACTTGGTTAAGAAACGTATTGCTAGTTGCCTCTTGCAACTTGAGCAGTTTGCCCGTCGATTTGGCGTATCAGCGGGAAGCGCCTGGATATCTGAGGACAACGTGCAGACTGCTCAACAGGCTCTTCATGAACATCTAGAAGTGCTGCCCACGGATGTTTTGACAAAAATGGTTGAATGTGAAAACACGGTTAACGCGCTTATTGAGAAGGAGTGGGAATCAATGGAAAAGACGCGCCAACAAGCACTGCAGTGAATTGAGTTGGGAATCCGTGCCAACTCAAGAAGCATCTGTAAATGTGGCGTGTGGAAAGCTATTTCGAACTTGCCACTTTTATCTCTAGTATGCGAGAGATGGCGAGTGTGTGGACCAGTCAACTTAAGCCGCCTTGATCGATGACATGCCACCCGCCTGCTCGATGAGTTTCTCCGTCTTAGCACGGTACTCGTTGTACTTGCTCTCGTCCTTCGGGATCCCTTCATCACCCTTCTTGTACATCACAGCCAGGTTATGGCATGCAGGGGCAAAGTTGGTATCGCAGGCCTTCTCTAGGTAAGTCTTCGCCTGCAGAATATCGCGCTTAATGGGACTGTTCGCTCGTGATGACAGATACATGCTTGCTACGCGGTTGCAGCTGTTTCCGTCGTCATGCTTGCACGCTTCTTTATAAGCGGCAAGGCCTTTAGCAAAGTCCTAAACAGCAACATCATTAATAACAATTTCACGTGAACACTACACTTCTCAACCACCAACGTTGACAAGATACAGACCTTTTCGCAGCCAATTCCTTGTGTGCGCATGAAACCCACATGATGACAACCAGCAGCGTGGCCCATAGCGCACGATTTTTCTACACACCATTTGAGTAAGTGCTACTGCACCAACCTCAAGTCTCACCCATTGTCAACTCACCAAAGAGCTTGAAAGCCTCTAGATCATTCTGCTCCACTCCTTTACCAGCAACTAAAGTGTCACATACACAGAATCAATCCAAAGCTAACGTAGCCGTGTTGCAGATCTGCAGCCGTACGCTTCAGTCGTCCGAGGTTAAAACACGAAGCCGGATATCCCTTCTTGGAGCAGTTAAGCTCGTAAATTTTGGCTGTAATTGATAAAACATGACACCAAAAACGACAATACAAAGCAAATTTTACGTCAGAAAATAATTTCTGGGATACAAAAGCAATAGGTTTTATCGTCACCTGCGCCTGTGTAATTCTTGTCAACGACCGCCAGCCACTCGCCCCAACTGTGACATGCACTTGCGTCTCCATCTCCATCGTTGCAGTTGGAGCGGAACTCGTACTGACGCTCCTCCAGTTCCTGGTTTAAACGCTTTATCTCGTCGACGCTACTGTCACTCGTCAGGACCATATTCGATACGTCTATACAGAATTTTTTTTACTAATTAATACAACGTGTAGCAGATAATATCTCAATTCAAAGCGAATGATTGGCTGAAATGAGCTGGTGTATCCATCTATTGCATCCAATCATTAATGCATATATTTAGTGAATTTCAACCAATACGAGATGTTTGCATTATTGGCTGGTGTCGCATTCACTAATCTCGTCGAGTCGCTATGGCTGCGCTGGCGGCTTCTTCGCTTAATGGCGTTAAGATTTATAATTTGTCATCGGGTAAAACGTTGCCGCAATGGCTAAATGAAAAAGGCGGTAGTCGCAAAGCTTTGGCCAAAGATGAGGATTACCGTCGTCGTGTGGAGCTGCTGCAGGACTTTCACTTCCCAGCCGCCTCACAGCGCGTACGCATGTCGGCGGACGGCAACTTTGTGGTAGCTACTGGCGTGTATCCTCCGTCTGTTAAGGTCTTTGACTTGCGTGACCTGAGTCTCAAGTTTGAGCGAGGTCTGGACGCTGAGGTGGTGCAATTTGAGGTGCTGGCCGCCGACTTTGGCAAGCTGGCATTCCTGCAGGCGGACCGGTCTGTGGCCTTTCATGCACCCTATGGCACACATTACAACATGCGAATTCCTAAGTTTGGTCGGGATATGACGTACCACCGTGAGAACTGTGAGATTTACGTGGCTGCATCCGGTTCGGACGTGTACCGGATCAATTTAGATCAAGGTCGATTTGTGGCTCCATTGGAGTTGCAGTCGCAGTCCTCGGCAGCTAATGTGATACAACTGAACCCTGTTCATCAGCTCATTGGAGTCGGGTGTGAAGATGGCGTGGTGGAGATGTTTGACTCGAGGAGTCAGCAACGTGTGGGCAGTCTGGACGTCGCGGCACAGTGTACGTCGGCCAAACCAACCAAACAAGTGGAGGTCACGGCATTGAGATTCGATGATGACGGACTGACATTTGGGGTTGGCACGTCGGAAGGGCAGTGTTTGCTTTATGACTTGCGCTCGTCGCGACCGTTGCTGGAAAAGGACCACCAGTACGGACTACCGATCGTAAATCTGCAATTCCATGATTATGCGCAGAAGGTAATTTCGTCGGATGCTAAGGTGATTAAGATCTGGAATCGTCGGGATGGCGCTGTGTTTACAAATGTAGAAACGCCTGCTGAGGTGAAGGACGTGTGTGTCGTAGATGGAGCACAGGGAAAGTCTGGAGTTTTGCTTGTGGCAGGCGAGCAGGAGCGTGTGATGAGCTACTATATCCCTGAGCTGGGCATCGCTCCAAAGTGGTGCTCGTTCTTGGACTCGCTTACTGAAGAGCTCGAAGAAGAGGCACAGGCCACCGTCTACGACGACTACCGGTTCGTTACGCGCGCGGAGATCGCCACGTTTGGACTGGATCACCTGGTGGGCACGCCGCTACTCAAGGCTTACATGCATGGTTTCTTTATGGATGCTCGTTTGTATAACAAGGTGAAGGCTGTGTCGGAGCCGTTTGCGTACGACGATTGGCGCAAGAAGAAGCTTAAAGAGAAGGTTGAGGCCAAACAGAGCAACCGTATCACTATCCAGCGTCGGCTGCCTAAGATCAATCGCGCTACGGCGGAGCGCATTCTACAAAGCGATGCCAAACGAAAGAAAAACAGCAAGGAGGTCGATGCCGACAAGGCGTTCTTAAACCCGTTGGGCGACGAACGGTTCTCGCGCATGTTTACGTCCACGGACTTCGAAGTGGATGAGGAAAGCGATACGTACCGTATGTTGCACCCGAACGCTATTAACATGAAGCAACAGCGTAAGCAGAAAGAGGACATGGACAGTGACGCTGCCACCGATGATGACGAGGGCGAAGATGATGGTCGTTTCGCCCGCGTCGACGACGAAGAAGATGAAGTCGAGGGTAGACCAAGTGACGAATCCTCTGACGAAGAGGAGCAAAATGAAATTCACGTGCGTGCACCTCAGCAAGCCGCTTCAAAGGGCAAGCGGAAACCAGCACCCAAGTTTTACGAGATTGCAGAAGGTGAAAAGATGGGCGACCTCATGTCTTTCGGTTCATCAAATGACCGTGCAGCTCAACGTGAGAAGAAGCAGTTGGCCAAGTTGCCACTTGCCGAGCGGTTGCGTATGCAACGCATTACAGAGAAGGAGCGTAGTGCATTCAAGAAGGAGGAGACTGCAGGTGGAGGTTACATCCGCGAGATGTCATTCGTGCCCCAGGCCGATCTTCGGAAGCAGCAGCGTGCCCGGGAACGTGAAAATGGTGACGATGGCGATTCAGCATTCGGCAATGACAAGCGACGGAAGAAACGTGGAGTTGGGGACCTAAAGCTGTCGAAACCTGCAGGGCGAGGTCGCTTCCGCAGATAAAACGAGATAGAAAATAGATTTTGCGACCCAGTTTGTATAAACTACCGAGTCGTAGTTTGTGTCTTTGCCCAAACCTGTCAGTGCTGACGTTCTACGGATCAACCCAGTAGCTTACGAGATTCTTCTTCAGCGTCATTCCTCCACGATATACTAAACGACCAAAAGCTATCGTGTACATTTTGTACACTGATCTAACATGTAATTGGTGTATTTTGCACGTGGCAGTAGCCAATAAGTGCCATGTTGCAGCGAGTATTATCTCGAGAGAATGTGGATGAGCGTCGACGTGCATTTTTTCGTGCTAGTGGCATCACAACGTACCGTCAATTACTTCATCGCCCTTTGTGGGATGTCGCGCACGTCGTTGACTTGTCCGTTTGCGAAACTGAGGTTTAGTAGTCACGTAATTCCACTGGACTTGAATGGATCATATTTCTACAATGAGACGTTGTGTTTGTAGGAATTATTGACAAAGATCTCGATTCGTTTGGCCCCAGCAAGTCGATCGGTAGTGATAAGTCCTGCTATAACGTTAATGCAATAGAAAGCTGCTAATATGCTCTGGTATGTGTATCAGGCGTTCGATTTATTCTTGGAAAGTGCCAACCATCCGACGTTCTTACGCACGGGTCTTCCAGGCATCGATCAGGCTCTGAATGGAGGACTTCACTGCCGAACATTGTCAGAGGTGCAGAGTTATTGTTAACAGTGTGGAAAGTGGGTATCTTCAGAGCTGACGAGATGGTGTCATGAACAGTTTGTGGGCACTGCTGGAATCGGCAAGAGTCAAGCGGTCATGACACTTGCGGTAGTGTGTGCGCTGGACTATCCGGACAATGGAGTCATATTCTTCGATGTTGAGCACAACTTTAGTGCTAAACGGTCGAGCTTATTTCGTGCAAAATGTACGAGTGAGAGTTATTGATAGTGTACTTATGATGATGTAGATTGTTGCAGATAACTATTGCGCGCATTCGACAGACGCATGCAGGTCAAGAGGCAGATATCAACGAGTTGGCTGCAGCAGTCATACAACGCATTCGTTATGTGAGAGTTAGCTCCATTGCAACGTTTTTTGCCAAGTACGAGAGTAGATTATTGCTTGGATGTCAACACAATACTTATGTCTTGTTGTGATGATTAGATTTAAGGAAGTGCAAAATGCTATTTACTCGCTCAAGACTAAGCTTCTCATTATTGACTGCGTGGCAGCGCTTTTTCTTAAGGTAGATGCTACAACTGTGTCGAGGATACTTTGTCGCCATCGTTTCAAGATATTGATGCTGCTTTGTCAGGTGGATGGCTCAACTCACGCACAGCGTACGCATCAAATGCTGCGGTTGGCAAGAGAGTTGAAGTGAGTCGACCATGCCCAAATTGCTTTTTGCTCCTGTTGCTAATGACTTTGCTAAACACATGTTCAGACTTTTCGCCGACACGTACCAAGTGTTCGTTGTTGTCACAAATCGGGCAACCACGATTGAAGGTGATGGTAAGACCTTTACGTTATGCTGGTTTTGTATTATTGTGCAAATTTAAAGCGTTTGCTGCTGATGTGAAGATGGATTCTATACGAAGCCGCAACTAGGCGATAGTTGGGCGCACTGCGTCACTACCAGGGCTAGTGCATGAATGATAGTTTTATCAAGTTTCGGTTTGCTTAAATACCTGACATGTGTCCACTGTGTTGCAGTTGATCATGGAGCAGCATTCGTTGTGTCGCGCGATCACCATTGTCAAGTCGTCCGTAGCAGGATACGTCGTGCAGCCGTTTACGGTCAAGGTGTCTGTCATTCTGCTGCTGCAAAAGATATAGATCGACTTCCTAACGTGTTCATGTGCAGGAAGGCGGTGTTGAAGCTGTTGAAGATGCAAGTGACGCAGTAGCTTCAGACGACTTTACCATTCACGACGAACTGCTGAGTGATATGGCACTTACAGGGAGACCTCTAACTGTAGATCCAGGGTGCACAGTACGATCAACACAGCAGAGTAACGCAGAGGATCTCGACGCAACGCAGCCTATTGGGCAAAGCGACGAAGAGTTGCAGTCGTTTCAGCAAGAAGAAGCGCAAGAAACTGGGTCTAGCAGCTTTGACATCGTGTCCGACTCAAACTCGAATGAAGACCACGAGTCATTCAATTGGGATATCGTCACTGAGGAGTAAATTGCTGCGAGCTCAGCAACAACCACAGCAGCAAAAAAATACGCAAACCTGACAGTTAAACAGCGCCATCATGGCGAGAAGCTTAGGAGGGTGTATTTAGTCCGACGCACGCCAGGAAGTGGCTTACGCCTTAAGAGCGTAGCGACGCTTGGGAAAGTACGACTCCTTCTTTTGCTGCTTGAGAGTCTTGATCGACTTCTCGTGCTTGGAGAGCTGACGGCGAATAGCGCGCGTTTTCTTGCGGCGTAGATCCAGAGGCACGTGCTTCTTGCTGCCAAGAGCAGCGCGAAGTTTGGCCTTTTGGTTCTGGTTGTACACCGTCAACACGCGAGCAATCGACTTGCGGACGACGCCGATCTTGCTCAGCTTGGAGGCAGCGCCGCCAATGACCTTGGACACACGAAGCTGGGCGAGCTCCTGCTGGTAGTCGTCCAGCTGACGAAGCAGCTCAGTCTTGCTCTTGGTGCGAAGCTCGTGTGCCTTGATCTGGACTAAAAACACAATAGTTATCAAGCAAGATGTCAGCTCCTGTGTCTACAATTAGTGGCCACTCAACGCTTCACTCTCAAGGCGGACAGGGAAGCAGGTAGCAGTGTTGTGATGACTACAGTAGCTCAGTAATCAGGTTTTGTGGCTGTACTTCCTGTTGTTCAAGCAGAGCGATCTATAGTCTTGATAGCAAATATTCTCAATTAACTCTCTGCCTGCCTGCCTTCTGCCTGCCTGCCTTCTGCCTGCCTGCCTTTTGCCTGCTTTCCTGTCCTATTGACGAGCTTAGTTGCTGCATAATAAAAAAAGACTTGGCTTACCCATTGTTTCCTAGCTGATGCGTTAGCTTTGAACTTCCCTTTTGTTGCGTCAAATGAGGCAAATTCACTGGTTGGCTAAACAAATGACTGGTCGCTGCTAGCGACCAGTCATTTTGACTTCCCGGACTTCACACTTAGAGCAACATTAAAATAGTTACAAAAGTCGAGTAACCCGTCTGAGAAGGGGTTAGGACTATATTTAGACGTTTATAATTTAAGTTTCGAATATTCGGTAATAGTATCTCGACTACCTACGGAACATATCATTCTAATTAAATTATGGAGCTAGAGAGGTGTTGGATTCTACTAGAAGCTGGTACATGCATGGCGAGCATGTGAAAATCTTGTAGAAAGAGTACAAAGATCTGCGTGGAACCGATTGTTATAACTCAGAAAATTTGATGCTCACAGGAAGCGAATGATAATTTATCGACCTAGTACGCAGTTGTAGACTTGGCCTAATGAAAAGATGAGGTCCTGCGGTGGTTGTTTAAAGGGATGCTTTTCGTATCAGTGAACGATCGAGTGCAAATGGATCACGCAAGTTTGAGGAGGCTGTCGAGTACGAGCGCAAATACGAGGAGTGCTGGAGTGTGGTGCTACAATGGACATTTGGGCACCATCTATAGCCTTGTGGTTGAACAGGAACATGAAGCTTGAGCAGATTGAGATGGATGGAACGTGGTTCTGGCTAAAGTATGCTCGTGGTATTGTTACCGTTACAACCAAGAACAAGATAAAACTAGCACTGCGGAGAAATGTCATCGTATTTGTGCCCTCCAACGGAGTCAGTGCCAAGGAAAGTAACCCTTTGGTTGCATATTTGAAGCACAAGTTGGACGGCACCGCGTTTTTGGCATGACAAGGGAACTCCGAATCTGGAAAGAAAGCGCGAAGGCCTTTTGCTGCATTTTAAAGCAGCGTGTTGGTCCCATGTTTCGCTGTCTTGTTAGATGGACTTGCGGGTATGATCCCATGCCAAGAAGCTACAATTCTGGCATGTCGACCCGCAAGGCGAGATACGCTACGAAGGGTGCAGAGACGTCAACTTGTACGAGAAAATAGCTGCATCTGCTGCATCTCAAAACACCACCTCACAGTCCCGTCACGAGTGCTTGCCCATAGCAGTTTTCTGCCAACAATTTCGTGGTGCTCTCTACAAAACTGCTGAAATGAAGCTCGAGAATCCGTTGGTAATCAACGTTTCAATCGAGCTTTCCATCGTACTGGATGCAATAAATCATCTTTGATGTCATTTCCGTTTCTTCCGCTCGTCAAGTATCTCTCCAAGTCGTTGTCTTCCAGCACTCAGTACACAGTCCTCGAGGACTCGTTTGCTTATCCATTTGCCATACAGCGGCCTCTTTATGCAGCACCTACTTAACCACGACTCCGTCTGAAGCAACTTAAAAACAAGTAGCCAAAACCTCGCAGCCAGCCAAACATGCTCTGCTCGCGCTTCGTCTCCGCCATGACCAAGAGCTCACTGGCATCTGCCACGTTCTTCCCCTCCATTACCAGTTCGTCGTTCTCCAGTCCACCTTTCTCCTGTTACTTTTTCCATCATCACGACACTGAAACGTGGTTGTGTGTCGTTCTTTTTTTTCTTACAGTCCAAGAGCCCATTATCAATTGGTTGGTCACTGATGGCACTCCCATTGCCATGGAACTATTGAATCGAAATGCTCGTCGTCCCAAGAAGGTATTTGGATGTTCTTACTACATGTCTTTCTTTACTTTGAATGTAATGCTTATGCTATTGTTGCTCTCAATGACAGGCAAATCACGGCAAACGTCCGTGCTCGCACCACCGCCGTCGACAGAAACGACTTGGTGCTAAAAAGGCATAAGAGAGGAATCGGATCCATCACTTGGTGCTGCCATTGACTCAATTCCAGACACATTTTTCGTCTGTTATCATGATGAAGACGAACAAGGCGGTAAGACACATTGACATACATCTACATTCAATCTGATTTGGCCCTATCCTATGCTACACTCGACATTTCAATTCCACAAGCTCGGTCATGTCTGCGTCATGGCCTCATCACTTTTAGTTTGATTCTCTTGCTCCTGTTTGCGCTCACTCTGCATTTGACGGTACTGCTGCGTGACTGCTGCACGTCGCCGGTCGTCCATGAGTTGTTGCTGCAATTGCAACTTGCGAACGTGTTCACGAAGATCGTGACAGCGCGGCACCTTGCATTCATATTGACGACACTGTCGGGCGTGAAGCTGCAGAAGTGCCCACACTCGCCGACAGATCGTGCAACCGCCGTACGCTCGCTGCTTGCACTGCGCTCCATGGCGCATCAGTTCCTTCATCTTCTCGCAGTTTGACGACCCGCAATTGCCATCAGCACATGAACTCGAGTGAACCAGTAATTGCATGTGCAAACGAACGTTCTTGGCACGCTGCTCGCGAAGACGTCGTTTTTCTGGTGTAAGTGCCTGAGCTCCTCCAGACCCACCAGCACCACCAACACCACCTCCGACACCTGCACCACTCGTAGGCACCATTTCCAGCGGGTGGTCGTGCTTCTCTTTGGCATTGCAAGTATCACACACGTCGAAGTCTGGGCACGTATGGCAATGCCAGCGATTGCCCGTCACAATATCGCGCGTACAAGCGTTGCACTCGTACACATAGGCATTCGGGTTCGGGTTGCCCAAATGATACAAAGCCATCATGGACGAGTGCTTTGCGCGACGCAGTTCGTCAAATTGGTAGTGATTGCCCTGACACAGGCTCAAAAAGGCCTGTCGCGTGTCAAAAAACTCACTGTCGTTAATATCGTCTGGGTCTGTACAGCGCTCTGGCAATGTCGCTGTTTCTTTTGTAAGAGCATTCAATCGTGTCTGCAGTCGGTGATGAGTCGCTGACGAACCTGCGGTGGATACGACCTTCAGTTTCTGGAAGCATTCATCGCACAACGCAGTTTGCACCACCTTCGGGTTTAGACCTTGTTCGGTTTTCACAGTATGGTCACGCCACAGTGTACCCTGCACCACTGACGTATTGCACACCCGACAACAAGGCACTAGTTTCACCACCAAGAAATCATCCTTCATGGGCTCGATCACCTCGCTCAATTTGGCCATAAGAGGGTCCGATAATTTCCGATCTGGCGTGTCTAACGACTTCAAAGTAAGCGTACGATTGCTCGTTGACGACGTGTCCTCGTGACCATCGTCGTCCTCGCCCTCCTCGCCGGACACCTCTCCACCTGACACGGTCTTACGACGTTTTACCTTCTTCGATTTAGACTTCTTGATCGCTGCCTTCTTCGTATCCGAGCTTTTGCGCTTCTGCGACTTGGAACCACGTTTATTTACAATCTTCTTTGGTTTTTCAGCGTCCAACTTCTCGATCAAGTCTTCTACCAGGCCGACCCAGTAGTCGCCTTCGAAGTACGGTAGTGCGCATGGCGTATTGTCGTTGCGCCAGTAATCGTCGTACATATTCGTGATTTGCCACACAACCCCTTCCTCCTCTGCTTTGACCAACATATCCACGTACCAAGCCCGCAAGCGATCCGACTTTGGCGTTTTCTGCGCCTCTGGATGGCAGTACAAAATATAGTCGTCACCTTTTAGGGGCGGACATGCCCACAGGTGTGCCGTATGAAAGCCACGTTGCTTGACAAATTCAAAATAGGCGATCAGCAGTTCATGGTACACTTTTGTCCGAAGATGCGCCGGCTTAAAGTAGTTCACAGAGTCCAGATACGAGATGTAAACTCGTCGCGAGTTGCAGTCTGCTTCTTGCTCGTCGAATTCGTGGACATACATACCGAATAGCAAGACCGACACGCCGTCCAACTCCTGGAACATACAAATACACTTGGACTTGAATCGGTGTTCGGACGTGTACTTGTGAGAATCTTTGTACCGCTGAAACATCTTATCACGCACCATCAACTGTTTTTCAATATTTGACACCAAACGCACAGCGAGGCCGTTGGCGGTCTCTACGTCTTTCACGTCACGCTGCGTCCATTTTGCCTCGTCCTCGCGCTCTGCTTTTAATGACTTGGCGATGCGGCGTTCCAGATAATCGGACAGCTTCGTACGTTGTAGATCTCTTGCACTGAAGGCATGCCGACCAATTCTATACTTCTCTGGTTCGCTTTTGCGGTACGCTAGCAGACATTCGGGGCATAAAAATTCGCTTCCAGGTGACGTAGTAATTGAATGGACCGTCCCCTTTGATCCCGAGGAAGAAGAATTCTTGACTACCGTAGTAGTAGTAGTAGTTGTAGCGTCGGAAGACTTTGTAGCAGTCGAAGAAGGAGACGAAGCTGCTTCACTGCTATCAGTCGTCTGGCCGTTCTCGGTCTTGACCAGCTGCGGCTTCTTCTCACTATCAATCTTGCCATTGAAAAGAGCACAAATCTGGTGAACCCAACGTTCACACTTGTCGCACTGTACCCAAGGTTCTTCGTGTACTTCGTCATTCTTTTTACGCGCAAGCTCATTCTTGTTGTACTGGCGGCCTTCATTGTGTTTTATGGCATCAGGCAAGTTACCGTAGCACTGATGACAGCAATGGTACTTATTATCTGCTGATGTGTAGTAGTAGCAATTGCGTCGAATACGACTATTGCACTCGCCGTTGCAGTACAATACTGCTGGTTCAAAAACCATGCGTTCAATACCACATAGGCGGCATGAGCTCTCCTTCCCACGGGCCGCCTTTTCATCAACTTCAACCTCAGCAGCCAGCTTGCGCATTGCACCATTAAAGTCAGATAGCATATCCTTCGCAAGACTGTAGACGTCTTGATCTTCGCTATTATACTGCATAGCGTTCTGGAATGTAGTACGCACGTCAAAAGCAAATTCCTCTGCGTGCTTGTAGATGCCTATTTCAAGTTTCTTCTTAACAGTTCCCAGGTCCATCGGCTTCCGAATAATCTTAAAGTAGTTTGGGATATTCAAAGCCACTGGGTCTACAGGTGTATTAAACACCCATCCAAACTTGTGTTCCATCATTCCCTTCAAAATTACCTCCAGCTTCTTCTTAAGATCCACCGGAGACACTGTTGCATTATAGCCCGTAATCAGTGAGTCAATATGAGAAGCTAGGTCCTCATTGCTCAGTTCGTTCAGCACAGACATTGGAACTTCCGAGGACGCTGGAGGCGCCGGTGTCGCCACAGCCGCTGATCTCAAGTTTGCCTCACTTTTGCTAACCGCAATCATTGCTTTCGGTGTTCCCACGGCACCTGCAGGCAGCTGCAAGGTTGTACTGGCGTCCATTCGGCGATGCTCCACCATCATGGCGTTCAGCTTTGAGTTGTTCATCGTTAGTGGATTGGTGCCTATATCTTCCTTTACAGCAGCCTGATTAAAAGGTGTCCCTAACTCATCAGACTGAGGTTCTTCTTTTACCGTACCACCAGTCGAACCTGCGACTGTTGTTGCAATATCCGCTTTTCTATCGCCCTGCTTCTGTTCTTGACTCAACCCAAGTCCTTGACCTTGAGCATTATCCATCGATAGAACTGGTCGTAAACCATTCATCACTGTCGCCGAAAGGTTGCCGGTTGCATGACGCGGGGTTGTTAACGTGTTTAATGGCACAGCCACCGAAACAGGAGTCGCAGCTACGTCTTGGAGGTCCATTGGCATTGCCAGGGGCTTTCCCGCAACTGAAAGGCTGCCATTCACTTTCAACGGAACATCCATATCTTCTTCGCTCAGCAGGTCATCGGGCGACGGCTTAATACACGTCCCTGGAAATTTAGCAGCCGGTCCCTGGACCTGTTGGAAAAGGTTTTGCTGTTGCATTTGAGCAGGCATTGGAATAGGCTGCAGTGCAGGCGCTGCATTATCCATGACTGTGTGACTTGACGCAATACCATTCTGAGTTAGCGTTGACGTTATAGCATTGCGCTCATTAATCACATGCTTTACAATGTTCCGCTGACTCCTGCATTGCTTAAACTTCACGTCCAGCTGTTTAAGCATCACTCGCTTCTCCTGTACTTGCGCTTCATACTTCGTTTTCTGCATTGGGTCTTGCGTAGAGTTTGACAGATGCAACAACTGCCGACATTCGTTCATAACGGCATTCATGCGCGCGCGAATCTCTTCCACCCACTTTTCAAGCTTCACGCAATGCGCGGTCAGCTGTTCCAGAGAGCGTCCGCTTAGCTTCTTCTTAATAAGCTGAAATTGCCGCTGGTCGTCTGGAACAAGGTTCGTGGGGCACCCACTGTTTTCTGCTTTCACATTTTCCATCATACTACTTGACCCTGCATTCGACAGTGCAGTCGGCATAGGGATGGGATGGCTAACTTCATTTGGTATCACCATTCCCAACGCGTTCATGTTTCCGTCCACCGGAGTAGAAGGGTTCACAGCACGTCCAACATTATGTTGTTGTTGTTGCTGCTGGAAGTTCATTGCCTCAATGTTAGTGCTGCTTTGAGGCTGCTGTAAGTGCGCAGGCATTGTCAATGGCATAGGCTGCTGTGCTTGCGAGAGAATCTGTTGCTGCTGCTGCATTTCCTGTTGCTTTTTCATCGCAAGCATGCGCTGTCGACGCTGGCTCGCAGCAATAATCTGCTGCAACGCACGGTCCGCATCTAGCATTAACGCACCATTTTTCTCCTTCACTTCCACGGGATATCGAACGACCTGGCACACAAGACACTTGGCGTTTGCGCACTGCTGGAAGTGCGATAATACGTACTTAGATGAAACGCAGTGGCTATAAGAGCATGCATTTGTCTGTTGGCATGCACCCATGTGAGCCCACAGTCGTTTCATCTCACCACAACTCGGCGTAGTTGTGCACATGCCCTCAGGCGATTTACACCACATAGCATGCCGCAACAACAGCAACCGTTGCTGCTGACGTTGCAATACTTCTTTTGATCCAGCGGTTTTTATATCTTCACGAACCATGAGTCGTAATTTGTTGTGGTACTCCGTTGTCTGGTTCTTGTCCAATGCAGATGTTACTTGCTGAGCTTTGGCTTTAAACTGCCATATTATCTGGGCCGATTTGTTACGAGCAGCCGAAGCTGGAGAGTTAGCAGATTGAAGGCCGGAACCGCTTGCATTCCCTCTTCCATTGGATGCGCTAGCACCCGAAGTTGTTTGCACATCGTTCTGCCCAGCTGGAAGCGAAATACCTGTACCAGTCATAGACAAACGTTCCGACATGACCGAGTCAATCACTGAGGGTGTTGACTGCATGCGCATCTGAACTTGGGATGTATCTACTTTAACAGGAGTGTTCATCTGCGAGGGCGGGTCCTGAAGCTCCGGCGGCATTTGGATAGCCTGAGAAGCCAGGCTTTTCAAATCTGGGCCCAGCCCATTTGACGTGGGAGCAACGGCGTGTAGACCAGGAAACGGAATGGGCATTCCAGGAGACACGGAAGTTTCAGGTCTGGTATTCGCTAATGATGACTGGTTTGGTGCACCAGGCTGACGCATTGCGTTGTTTCCAACCACTCGCTGGTGAGTCTGGGCACTGCGCACAATACTACGCAATCGCGATTGTAGCGTGCTTGTGTTTGCATATTCTTCACGAGAGGCAGCAATGCGGTAGCACTCGTCTTCAAGACGGTGTGCCATCTCCGGTAACTTCTGCAACCAGTTTGCTGGAGCATTCGACCGTTGATTCTGCAGTACCCGCATAATATGATTCAGCATCTCCTTGCGCAATGCCTGATCAGCCGACGTTTGCCACGATGGGCGCGTTGCAGAGGTCGTGGATCCAGCGTTTTGACCTGAAGCTTGAGGGTGAGGGCGCGCAGTGTTCATGTTTACGTTGGCACTTTGGTTACCTCCGCTCAATTGACTTTGCGCAGCCATTTGAGATGGAACTTGACCCCCCGCAAGCATCTGCTGCTGGTTATGATGTGCTGCTTGATGTTGCTGCGCCTGCTGGTTATTTTTATGTACTTGCTGCTGCTGTGCCTGTCGTTGGCGCTCATGCAGCGCTTTCTGCTGTTGCTGCTGACGTTGGAGGTTTAGCTGACGCTGTTGTTGCATTGCCTGCATATAGTGCTGCTGCATTTGTTGTTGAGACATGTAGTAAGATCCCTGCTGGTTCATCATGTTCATTTGCTGCTGCATGTTGTTAAACATCATTTGATTGGCGTCGTTCATGCCAAAATTGTTTCCACTCATATCCATCCCCCTATTGTTCATCCCCATGCTTAAATTCATTCCCGAGTTCATCCCCATGTTCATGTCGAGGCCCATTTCATTGCTATTAGTTCCCATTGCACTACTCGTCGTGCTCGTATTCATATAATTCGTCGCGTCCAGGCCCGTAGACGTCGACGACGATGTGCCACTACTACTTAGTGACTCGGAGGCTAATGACGCCGGAAACGGGATCGCATCAGTTGTCGACGTTGTCGAAGCCGGTGATGCAGCCATCATGGACATAGACGTATCCGTCATCAGCATGTTACTTGTGTTACTAGCCGTCGCCTTGGGCGAGTTGAGCTCGTCTGGAAAATCAATGAGCCCTGCCGTCAGTGTAGATGAGTTGCCACTCATCATCATCGATGCGTCTGTCATAAGATGCATGCCACTGCTAAAGTCCAGTCCATCGGATAGCTCCATACTACCATTATTGCCACCCAAATTAAACTGGTTCATAAACCGAGTGTCACCACCTCCGTTCATATTTACACTAAAATCCCCTACAAATGCCTGTGAAGAGTCCATTCTTCAGTCTACAAACAATATCACACGAGCAAAACGTTTAGTATCAAGTCATACAGCATTGCTCTACAGCTTCAATTTCCATCCATGAGACATGTATGTTATAGCTCAGTATCGTACCTGTACAATAGAGTCAGTAGATGAAGCTTTCTAAGCCTCTGGAAGCTCTTTTTACTCGCCACAGCTACAAGCCGAAGCGACGCACGCGAACGAGCACCGCTCAAATTCTAGGAAACGTTTGAACGCGACAAAGCGAGAGAGGAGAGAGAGAGAGGTTGTGGTCACGTCAAGACACGACGGAAGGGACGCTCTCACACGTACAGAAGCCGAGCGAATGCCTTTACTTTTCCTCGCTCACTCGGAGCTTTTCTTTTTCTGGGCACTGATGTTAGTTAACACGCCACAAGGGGTTTCAGACTGAGGCTATTGGAGGTGTAATTTATCAAGACTTGTTGCTCACTGAATACAGCTGTGGGATGAATTATCTTAAATAAGTATTACACACATGACCCTCAATGACCAAACCCGTATGTATTTTTTGGGTGTGACATTATTAACGCCATGGTCTCAATTAACGTCCGTGATGATACGGGGCTTGCCACCGGCAGTGACGCTCTCAGAATTGTCCGGCTGTGCTAATGCAGCATAGTAGTGGACGTAATTTATTGTTTAAATCCTTATAGGCCGCTCGATTGGCCGTTTATTTGGAGTGCGCGGCCGCCAGAGCGACGGCGCGGGTCGTGGGATGTGGCCCTCAATGACCGCTTGCGCGGCCCGTCGGACTTGGAGTGCGCGATTGCCGAAGCGAGGACGAGTACCTTATCCTGGTCGGTTGTCCGCACGACCGGTGGCCGCGCGAAATGCATGCTTGTAATATACTTTGGCTTCCGCGAAAAAGGATTCCCGCTGAAGGGGGGTATCCGTGATGAGGAGCTGAGGCTTGAATTCGGCTTGACCTTGACTGCGGAAATTTGGGAATGCTTTTTTTCGCAATCTATTTGAACTCGGTCTTATATATCGCTTAACACGAAGATTCGAAAGCATGTAGGATATGTTCGTCAGATCGTCCCGTCGTCCAGTCGTCTAGTCGTCTAGTCGTCATCGGTCTTTTACATTCTGGAGATGCGAACATTAGTCACGACTCTTATCATTTGTTGACGCATCACGCCACTAGGGATAGTATTACGAAGTGAAAAACACAGCAGCGAAAATGCTGGAGCTATAGAAAGTCGTCCGTAGCAAACGGTTGAGGATCTCTACACGCCGTGCTTTTTATCGTCTCAGGTGTTGACATTTTGCTGTGCATGTTACTATGAAATTCCATACGCAATTTTTTTGAATCCGATAGCTAGCGCTGGATCTTAATGGGTATGAATCCGCTGCTTTGTCTTAAACGATTTCGTCAATGACTTGAATCGTCGAGAGGCGATTTCATACGAAAAACAAGCATATGTTGACAGATCCATCATCATACGTCATGTTCCTGACAGTTGACACATCGATCTTACTATCGAGCGTAAACCTTGATTCGGCTTTATCATTTATTGTCTGTAGTGGCGATATACTGGAGGCAGTACCTATCGTACGTAACCTGCACTACGTGATGATTCAGTTTCTTAATGTAAGTACTGCATCACTCCAGTCAAGAGGTAGATAAGGTAGATTCTTTACCGCAGAGACATTGCACTGTGACTTACGTCAGTATCACTAAAACTTATTAGACCAAGCAGACCGAGGCGGCCTCCATGATGGCCACGCATATTTGTACACCATGTTGCACTGTAAGGAATCTAGAAGAACATTAGATTAGCGTTTTGATCTATGATCACGAGCTATAATTTTCTACGCATACCTTTCGCGTATCTCGTTGATGTAATCAGCTAAGCTGAGCCGAGCGCGCACCTAAGCTGGTCAAGGCAGTAACCTTGGCACTCTTGAGCCAACACGTGCCGCCGTTGTAGTTCGTCCATGTGAACACGTTACAAGCGCTCGTGGTGCGGCAAATGGGGCAACACCCCTCGGCGGTGCTGCTCCTAACGTTGCCTACGTCGTTGCCGGGATAGTCGACGTTCTCCTCGATGATTTGGCAGCCAGCGTCTCGTGACGGCGTCTTAACAGTACCGACACCTCCGCTAGAAATGTAGTTGGCAGCCTGTTCGGCAGCTTCCCGGCCAATGTACATGATAAAGCCGTACGGGTTCACAGTGCCGTCACGCATGGCACTGGCGTCCGCAACGAAGATATTACTGGTGCCCAGAACACGCAACTTTTCGTCAGCACAGCGACTGGATCCTGCCGATGAATCCGTCGAGGCGTAGCAGGTACCGCCAAAGTGGTTCACAATAAGCCCACGGTTCCTGGATACCCAGCCGGCCACACTTTTGGCATCCGATCCAGCCGGGAGGAACGTTGCGCCTTGGGCCGTCATGGCACTCACCACCTTCTGAACATATTGCTGCATGGCAACCAGGTCACGGTTTGTGCCGAAATACGCGTTTCCTTCGTTGAACGCGCGCCACACACCGTTTCTATCAAAGCCACAAGCCGCACGGGCCTCCGGGTTGTTCAGAAACAGCGTGGTCGCCAACGCATCGTCGCGCCTTGAAAACTCGCCAATACCGTGGGGAAGGACCGTTGTCTGGAATTCGTACATGCGGCCCTGCACCTCAAAGTTCTCATAGCCGATAAGCACCGGTCCAGAACTGCTCCAGGGGCCCGTTTTGTTGTTCACGTATTGGTCGATAGCCCCGGACGGGCGGTCGACGTAGCGGAAGCTCTTCATGTTCGGGTGTGAGAACGAAGCGAGGACGCCGTTTGTGTCGAACATACTGCGGCCGACGAAAGGGTTAATGATTAAGTCACCCTGAGCGACACCAGGAAACTTGCTGTTCCCTTTCAGCAGGTTCAGCTGATCGGTGGGGCCGATGCCACTCTGAATAAGCACCTTGGGTGTGCTCAGAGCACCGGCAGCCATGATGATAGTGCCGCGCGACGATAGTTGGGCCATGGTGCCACCAGCGTAAACGACACCAGTCGCCTTACCAGACGAATGCAAGACGTAGTCGACCATAGTGTTGGTCATGAGTTTCACGTTGCTGCGCGTGCTCATCTTGCCCCAGAAGGCCTTGGCAGGGGAGTCACGGAGGGCACCCATGGCTACGAACGGGGCATGGCCGAAAGTCTTGCTTTTACTGTTGCGAGCTACGGCATCGTTGATTGTTCTCTCCGAGTAACCTTGAGCACTGAACGCTTTGGCCACAATTTGGTAGCCCTCTTGCAGGTACCAAAGGCCATCCAACGAGGGCGTGATTGTGGCGCCATGCGTCTTCTCATTTTCATCCATCTTGGCGACCATGGACTCTGCGGAAAAGGGCCACTGCATTTGCTCCACGTAGCTATTCGGAGGACGGAAGTACAATGCAGCATTGATTGATGAGCAGCCTCCAACAAGCTTAGCAAGGCCCAACCACGTCTCGAAAAACCAGTCTGCCCGGAACTGCGAGCCACCGAGGATGGTTTCATACTCACCCAGGATATCGAAAATCGTGAGGCGTTGACGCGTAGCGTAGTGTGGGATTACCGTACCTCTGGTAGCCGCAAGGGACTCCGGTCCGGCCTCAATGATCAGCACGGAAACACTCGGGTCCCGCGACAGATGCTCGGCAGCAACAAGACCTCCGGGTCCGCTGCCGACGACGATGACATCGTACGCCGATTGGGCATCAACCACACAGCTAGAGGAGACAAATGTAACCAGCGCGCAAGTCCAGAGGCAAGTTTTTCCACCAAACATCTTAGGATACAGATTAAGTGATGAAGCTGGTGAAGGATGCAAGGTGGTCGTGTATCCTTGTTGGTCTGCGGCAAATGGCGTTGTGAACTGCTTCAGCAGGGCCTCATAGCGTCCGTGTGAACTGCTTCGGCCGGGCTAATAGCCACACAAAAAAAGGCAGCATAATTGTCACGATTGGAGTTCGCAATGGAACACAACTGGTGCTAGCACGTATAGAGTTTACCGATCCTCTCACGAATGGTATAGGCGGAACTTGCAAGCTGGCAATAGAGAGACTCCACTCTGCAAGGACTTTCCAGCTCTTTAAGATACATAGACAATCCTCTTGACTGCTGTCACATACCTTTTCTTCCTCCTTATTTTGTAGCATCGTTTCCTATACCATTAAAGCGTATGAATAGTTAAAGTCAAAGCTGCAGGTAAGCCCAGCGCATCCCTCTTTTCCCTCATCCCCTGCCCCATTTTTCCAATCCAATGAAACGTTGTAGCTCTCCATTCTATGCAAAGTTCACCGTGCTACGTCAACTTCATGATCACAACGATTTGGAAAGCTCTTGAAAACTGTATGCGCTTGACTATGCGTGCACCTTCTATTTCACTGAATATATACCCATGATCGTTGCTACGCCTGTTGCTCTTTTTATCGAAGTCTCAACACCAGAACCCTTTTGTTTTAAGGTGTGCCTGTTCGTGACTCAGCAATCGGCTTTGGTTTCGACTGTCATATGCCTTCACTTACGTATTTCATAGAAACTATTAGTGTGTACTGGGTTGGTTCTCGCTAGCTTGTGTGTTGAAAGCACTTCCCTTGCTATCGGAGTAAGTCACACTGCGTTTGTAAAGGTTCCTCTCATAGCAAACTTTGAGCTTAATCGCTCGAAACTAGACGAGTTTGTTGGCGCTTCCGTACACTTTGGTAACAAAAGATCGCAGTCGCGTGCGATCATTCTATTGTTCTTTGTGTCCATGGCCAGATAGTTTTTTGGACAATGTCACCCAAGTTTAGGATTTCTTGGGCAAGTTAGATTGAGATGCGTATCGTTGAACCTTCTCATGTACTTACTGTTGTAAAAGAAGCGACTCGGCATGCAAACGGCAACCACAAGAATGTACGGTCTGATTAGTTAGGTGTGCGCCTATCCCATGAGTAATACCACTAGCGTGGATTACTCATGAGCGACTATCTGATGAGTCATGTGTGTAGAGTAGATTACTCATGTGCGGCTATCCCATGAGTAATGCGCGATATAGCGATTAGAAACGTGTAGTCGAAGAATCCAGTAGGCTTAGAGTAGCAACAGAGTTTGTGAACTAAGGACCTAAATATATTCACTTTGCATTTTGCTTTCTACAACCCAAGTGCTTTAACAACAGGTTATGAGCCCAAGCTCTGCTGACTCTGCCCCCGACGCCGACTTCGCCTTCAACATGGACGCTGCCACCGCCACCAACGCTCGCATCAACAAGTTTGATGGTTCGAACTTCCACACTTGGAAGTTCAAAATGCAGATGGTGCTGGAGGAGCGGGACCTTTGGGAAGTGACAAGCGGGGAGATCAAGCTGGAACATCTTGCCACTACGCTGGATCAGTCAACGTTCAAGCGCAAGTCAAGGAAGGCGCTCGCGATAATCTGTCTTGCGATGGAGGACTCGCAGCTGCCCCTGGTCCGGCCGGCAAGTGGAGCGTACGATGCATGGTCGCGGCTGGAAGGCCGCTTTGAGAAGAAGAGCTTAGCCAACAAACTCTTTCTTCGTCGCCGTTTCTTCACGGCCAAGATGGAGGAAGGCGATGATGTGCTTTCGCACATCAACAAGATAAAGACACTGGCGGAACAACTCGACGCGGTGGGTGCTCCGGTCAGCGAAGACGACCTGGTGATCACGCTTCTTGGAAGCTTAAGTGAGTCGTTTGCATTTCTCATTACTGTAATTTGGAGTCAAGGGCTGACTCGCTGTCGTGGGAACTGGTGACATCCAGGCTGCTACATGAAGACATGAAGCGCAAGGAGCAAGGCAGTGACGGGGTCGCTGCAGGTCAAGCGTTCATGACAGGTGAGAAGAAGCGTAGTGGACGGCCATTCAAGAAGACTGGCGCGTGCAACTACTGCGGTAAGATGGGTCATTGGATCGCGGAGTGTACCTCACGGATCCATGACAACGCGGACCGGCAGCGTCCGCAGCGTGCGAATGTGGCGCACAACCAAGATGAAAAATTGGACGATTTCCTGTTTGCAGCTGGACTGGAGAGCAACGACGACGACAGCGTCAAGAATCCAGCATGGCTCATAGACTCTGGTGCGACGCAGCACATGTCATTTTCAAAGCGGTTTATGACAAACTACAAGACCATCGATCCAGTTAACGTTCATCTCGCAGACGACAGGGTCGTGCAGGCGATTGGGACCGGCAACGTAGTGATGATGATGAAGACACCAAGTGGTGCCAAGAAGGGTGTGCTTACGAATGTGTGGCACATTCCAAAGCTTTCACGCAATCTGTTCTCAGTTGGCCGATTTACCAAGGATGTCGCGGCAGTGACGTTTGATACGAGCACCTGTTATGCAAATTTCAAGAACCAGAAGTGGAAGATCGGCGAGCGTGCCGGCAAAGGTCTCTTTAGACTATGCATGACACCTGTGCAAGTCGAGAGCGCGAGCATCGCAAGTGAATACAACAAGCCTCAGATGAGCAAGTCATACTTGTGGCATCTGCGTCTTGGTCACATTGGCCATGGTGGACTCGACGCGATCGTGAAGCAGAACCTCGGTGTCGGCATCGACATTACATCTGTGGGCAAGTGGGAGCTTTGCAACGGATGCGCGCTCGGAAAGCAGACACGAGTGAGTTTTCAGTCAACTACACGTAAACCAGCCAAGGACCTGCTTGACGTCGTGCATTCCGATGTATGTGGACCAATGCAGACTTCGACATTTTCCAACAAGCGCTATTTTGTGACGTTCATCGATGACAAGTCGCGGTTTTGTACTGTGTACCTAATTCACAGCAAGTCTGAAGTGTTAGACAGATTCATGCAGTTCACCAAGTTTGCCGAGACTCAGACCGGTCGTCGCATCAAGATGCTCCGCAGCGATAACGGTGGAGAATATGTTTCCAACAAGTTCGCCGCGTTCTGTCGCAACAAAGGCATCATACAGCAATTTACACCGCCGTACACCCCACAACTCAACGGAGTGGCGGAGCGAATGAACAGGACTCTAGTCGAGAGTGCTAGATGCATGATTGAGCATGCGGGACTAAGCAAGCGCTACTGGGGTGAAGCAGTGTCAACGGCAGCGTTCCTACGCAATCGAAGTCCGACGCAAGCAATTGGCCATGAAAAGTCCCCGCACGAGGTATGGACGAAGACAAAGCCGTTGTTGAAAAACCTGAAAGTCTTTGGATGTCACGCATATGTGCATGTGCCGAAAGAGAAGAGGTCGAAGCTTGATGCGCGATCGACGTTGTGTCGCTTCTTGGGCTACTCAGACCACGAAAAGGCGTACCGGTTTGAAGAGATATCAAGCAGTCGCATTCTAGTGAGTCGCGACGCCCAATTCATGGAAGACATGTTCGACAGCGGGAAGTGCATGCAAAAAAGTGGCATCGACCCTATCGAGTATCATAACACTGATGAAGGCTTCAACGATCGTGACAACGGGGTTGCCAATGAAGACATGGATGTGCATATGCCCGAATCAGCATCGATCCATGAGCGGCCACAATGGCAACAAATGCAGCGTTCAAGTCATCAACCGCAGTATCCGCAGCATCAGACAGCCGAGTTTCTACCGGGGTCGAAAAGACATGTACGCACACAGTCACTAGAAGCTTTGTCAGAGCCGCCAATGGAAAAACGCTATGGACGCGGGGCTAGTACAAGTGGTGTGCACGCATCGTCTGTGCAAGGTACTGCGTCACCACTCGAAGCCATGTCGGCGCTTCTCGCATCTATTGATGAAGAAGAAGACGAAGAAAATGAAGAAGACTGTGCTAACGTCGTGGATTCAGTGGGAGAAGCGCCGATGACATTCTCATCGGCTATGGAATCCAGCGACGCAAGACAGTGGCGAGAAGCGTGCGAATCAGAATTTCAGTCATTGTGCAAGAACAACACGTGGGAACTCGTGCCGTTACCAAGTGATCGCAAGGCGATCAGCAGCAAGTGGGTGTTCAAGGTGAAGGAGACTGTTGATGGACTCATCGAGCGATACAAAGCGCGCCTCGTGGCAAAAGGATTTTTGCAAAAATACGGTGTGGACTTCGAGGAGACGTTAGCACCAGTGGCCAAGTTCGCGTCGATCCGGATCATTGTGAGCCTCGCCGCGCAGCACAACCTCGTACTTCACCAGATGGACGTCAAAACGGCGTTTCTCAACGGTATGCTTGAAGAAGAGATCTACATGAAGCAGCCTGACGGATTCGTTGATGCCAATCATCCTCACCATGTGTGCAAGCTCAAGCGTGCGTTGTACGGACTCAAGCAATCCCCTCGAATGTGGAACCAGACTATTGATGAGTTCATGCGCAATATTGGCTTCACCAAGTGCGAGATGGATCACTGTGTCTACGCCAAGCGTGACGACAAGGTCATGATGTTTGTTGTCATATACGTCGACGACCTCATCCTTGCGTGCAACAACATGGACATCCTCGCAGCCACCAAACGTGCATTGAGCGAGCGATTCGAGATGTGAGCTTAAGTATTGCCTCGGAATAGAAGTCGAGCGAGATGACAAGTCAGGCGATGTATCGATGAAACAGACTAAGTTCTTGCGATCGATTCTGACCAAGTTCGGTATGCAAGACTCTAAGCCTGTTAAGACACCGCAAGACCCCGGACTGAAGTTGACTAAGCGTATGTGTAAAGATGGATGCAAGCACAACTACACCATGCAAGGAGTGCCATACCGAAGTGCCGTCGGAGCCTTGATGTACCTCATGGTAGGCACGCGTCCAGACCTCGCAGCTTCAGTGGGAGTGCTCAGCCAGTTTGCTGCTGACCCGTGTCCGACACACTGGCAAGCACTCAAGCGCGTGCTACGGTACCTGCAATCGACTCCTACACTTGGTATTCGTTTTATTGGCGCTGGCAATGGCAAGTTGCTTGGCTATTCCGATGCCGACTGGGCTGGAGATACTGATACTAGACGAAGTACCAGCGGCTACGTATTTGTGCTTAACAACGGCTGCATCAGCTGGCGTAGCAAGAAACAGCGCAGCGTGGCGCTCTCGTCTACCGAAGCAGAGTACATGGCACTGTCGGAGGCGACCCAAGAAGCGACGTGGCTCAAGACGCTCATGCGTGAGCTCGGTGAAGAAGCAGGTGATGACGCTCTAACTATCTATGAAGACAATCAAGGTGCTATTGCGTTGGCCAAGAACCCAGAGTTCCACAAACGCACTAAGCACATCGACATTCGCTACCACTTCGTGCGAGAAAAGGTCGAAAAGAATCAAGTCGTGCTACAGTACTGTCCAACGCAAGATATGCTCGCTGACATCATGACCAAGGCAATCGCAGCGCCACAGTTCACCATCCTCCGTACTAAACTCGGCATCACTGTCGGTGTCGCTACCGAGTCGAGTGGGAGTGTTGTAAAAGAAGCGACTCGGCATGCAAACGGCAACCACAAGAATGTACGGTCTGATTAGTTAGGTGTGCGCCTATCCCATGAGTAATACCACTAGCGTGGATTACTCATGAGCGACTATCTGATGAGTCATGTGTGTAGAGTAGATTACTCATGTGCGGCTATCCCATGAGTAATGCGCGATATAGCGATTAGAAACGTGTAGTCGAAGAATCCAGTAGGCTTAGAGTAGCAACAGAGTTTGTGAACTAAGGACCTAAATATATTCACTTTGCATTTTGCTTTCTACAACCCAAGTGCTTTAACAACACTTACAAGATACGATTGCTTCGATACAAAATCTCTCCAGCAAAGTCTAGAATGCACGTGGAAACTGTCTGACGATATTGATTGGATTAAGGACGCTAGCATGGCAAGGGTGTTTGGCCAGGTTGCACAGAAGAAGACACGTTATGGGTAAAAGGTGCAAAGTCCAACCAATAGTACTACCATGTGACCAGGACGATGTAAAACGTCCAGACGCGCGATACGAGCCGGCAGGCGATTCCACGCGGTGCCGTAAATATTCAGGATACATACCCTTCTTCTGCTGCAGAACGTTTTCTGATATCGTCAAAACTCATATTGACGATAGTATTCCGGGGTTGTCATTGAGGCCTCTAAAAATCTACCTCGAACTGAGCTGGTAGCGCAATAGTGCACGAAATCGACCAAATAATTTGAAGCCTGTGCAGTGGGTTCATTGCAGACCCAATGGCGGTTTAAACGGACGGTCCCTTCCACCAAAGCGAAGCTGACCCGACTTCTTCGTCCCGCCCAAGCCGCCGCCAAGACGGCGCGGCTTCCATGACTTCATGACCCGACTGCGCTCAAAGTCCACCAAGATTACAGCACTATCGATCACACGTCGATGTGCGTGTTTATAGGCGCGTTCGAAATCCCTCTCGTGCTCAAACTCGACGAACGCGTAGCCCTTGGACTTGTTGGTCTCGTTGTCTCGAACGAGACGCAGACGCCGAATGGCTCCGTAATCATTAAAGAATTTTCGGAGCGTCTCCTCCGTCGTATCAAAGTGCAGCCGACCTACAAATAACGTAGCGTATGGGTCGCCCTGGATCTGTGGGTCTTTCCTCGCATCATAGCAAGCGTTTAATGCACGCACCAGACCTTTGTCGTGAGGTGTCGTGTCCGTGCCATCGATGCTGCCAATCTGAATAGGATCGTACGCCTCCGCAAACCAATTTCGACGAATCGGTTGACGTTGTTTGGTATTTTGTCGCCTACGGCTTCGACTTCGACTTCGACTTCGACCTCTGCTAGGACTACGCTGCCGTTTCTCGCCGATCCGTTCTCTTGCCATTTATATCTTTGTAAAACAAGTCTTCCTAGATAACGAAGGCAATATTTATTCCTCACCTTTGGAATTAACAGTTTTGCCCTATAAGCATTTGACTTTTCTACTTAACTATAATAAGGACCCTCATTATACTCAAGTAGAAACCTAATGAATTGGTCAAAACTACTTTCAAGCATAATGAGGCGATACTTATCAATCGTCCTTGTAGTGATGCGAACAGCGACTGCGGCTCGAATCGCGCTACTGACAGACGTGGAAGGCAATTGGCAGTATGTGCGCAATGTGGTGCGTCAGTCTTCGTGTCTGTTTCTGGCTTCCAGCGGCCAAGACGAGACGCTGGAGCTTCGTGACGACTGCGTGCTGGTGTTCGGAGGCGACGCTGGAGATAAAGGAAACGATACATTAAAGTTAGTAAATGTATGATAAGTAGTTAATTTTATGGAACGAATGGCTGAAAATGGGTACATGTGTAGATGCTACGAGCAGCTGGTGAGTCTCAAAAAACGGCATCCGGATCGCGTCGTCCTTCTCGTGGGCAATCGCGACGTGAACAAAATGAGGTTCACGTCGGAGTTACATGATACAGAAATGGATTTACACTCAATGGCTAAAGGTTGGCGACTGTATTTAGCTGCTTCATTGTACTGGTGTACAAATGCTTGACTCTAACATTTCTGTGATGTGAAGAGGTTTTGGAAGGCCCGATGTGGGTGCCCGTGGACAAACGCATGACGTTGACACAGTTTTTGGCTAAAGAGCAGAAGAAAGAAGATGGTGATGGTGCGGACGACACAATTGAAGCTGTTAATTCCAAGACGAACCGCCTGAAATGGATTCTGGAGCACACGATGGGAGCACAGGGAGACTTTGAACGTCGACGGACTGAGCTGATGTTGCGTCAAGACGTTGATGACGTGACGAACGAAAACGTTGTGAAGTCATATGTGGAAAGTGTCATAGAAGGAGGCGCATTGCGTGAGTTTTTGCTGCACGGGAGTCTGGCATTTGTGGCTCATCAGACATTGTTTGTGCATGGCGGTATCATCGATGGCGACAACGACGCTGGTTTGTCTGCGCTGGGTCGAGTGCCTAATGAACCTTCAAAGCATTTTGATTCGGTGTTGGAGTGGGTGGATGCACTGAACGCGTGGTACAGAGGCCAAGTTCGGGAATGGATCGAGCATCCGACATGGAATGAAGACCATTCATTTCGCGGCGGAAACGAACTGCTACAATACGTACTTCCGGATTACACGGGCAGTGTTGTCATGGGCCGACATCTTCTGGCGTCCGGCATGCCAATTCCGCTTCCAGACGCAATTGCGTCTCAACTGTCTGAAAATGGAATTCGACGTGTAATCATTGGACATACACCTCACGGCAATTGTCCAACGGTCATTAAGCAGCCTCATCAGCGACATGATACCTGTGCAAGAGATCGTAGCAACGATACAGTCATTTTTCAGGATGTTGTCATGTGCGACACAAGTTATAGCGATGTACGAGCCCCAGACAACCGTGGCGGCGCTGCGTCTGAGGTGGTGGTGGAGCCCTTAGGTCGCGTGCGTGTAAATGGTGTTTTGGAGAACAGTCATTGCATCAAGTATAATCTCGACGAGGATCCATGGATCGGTCGATGGCTTCGCGATGGAACCATGGTAAAGGCTCGTCTTGTCAACGAAGACGCAAGCGGAGAAGAAGAGTCGTATCTTGTGTTCCGCGTGGAGAATGGTTATTCGTACTCATATTTTTACCACACGGTTACGAAACTCCAAGAAATTGGCCTGAAGTATTGAATTAAATTATTGCAATGCACCTGGATGAGAGGACTGCTGCAATCTGTGACATTGTTCAGTACTTGATTGTCTTCAACATCTGGAGGCTGATAGTAAAATGTAACTGGCTAAAATTCAAGCTGTCTCTTTACGGTCATGATTGGCTAAAATAATTCACACCACCGTGGTTGGCTGGCAGTGCCATGTCCAGTCATTTTGTTGTCGATGACTCTTGTCGAGTCTCAATTCTGAATCAGCCAACAAACTCTCTCGTCTCGATTCTCTTTATATCAAGCTCATTAGAATGTCTGGACGTGGTTTTGGAGGTCGTGGTGGCGGTCGCGGTGGCGGCCGTGGTGGCGGTCGTGGCTTTAGTGGAGGTCGTGGAGGTGGTCGTGGAGGTGGTCGTGGAGGTGGTCGCGGTGGTGCTCCTGGTGGCCGTGGCTTTGGGGGAGGACGTGGTGGCGGCCGTGGTGGCGGTCGCGGCGCTCCTGGTGGTCGTGGTGGAGGTCGTGGTGGTGGACGTGGTGGTGGCCGTGGAGGTATGGCTGGCGGTGCTAAGGTCGTCGTGGAGCCTCACCGCCACGCAGGTATTTTCATTGCTCGTGGCAAGGAGGACGCTCTTGTGACGCTTAATTCGACCCCTGGCAAGTCGGTGTATGGCGAGAAGCGCATCTCGGTGGACGTTCCTGCCGCGTCGGGTGAAGGCACCGAGAAGGTCGAATACCGTGTGTGGAACCCGTTCCGTTCCAAGATTGCTGCTGCTATTCTTGGCGGTGTCGACAACATCTGGATCACTCCTGGTGCCAAGGTGCTGTACCTGGGTGGTGCATCAGGTACCACCGTATCTCACGTCTCGGACATCGTGGGACCTACCGGCGCTGTGTACGCCGTTGAGTTCTCCCACCGTGTGGGCCGTGACCTTATCAACATGGCTAAGTCGCGGACTAACGTTGTACCGATTATTGAAGACGCTCGTCACCCGCTTAAGTACCGTATGCTTGTACCGATGGTCGACGTCGTCTTTGCTGATGTCGCTCAGCCTGACCAGGCTCGTATCGTGGCTATCAACGCCTCGCATTTCCTGAAGAACGGTGGTCACTTTGTAATCTCTATCAAGGCTAGCTGCATTGACTCTACTGCTCCGCCTGAGGCAGTGTTCGCCCGTGAGGTGAAGAAGCTTCAGCAGGAACAGTTCAAGCCAGCCGAGCAATTGACGCTGGAGCCATACGAGCGTGACCACGCTGTGGTTGTCGGCACGTACCGTGTGCCCAAGAAGGAGAAGAAGTAGCTTGAGGAACAAGCCACATGGTTTATATTCTCTAACTATGCAATGTGTTTTTCTACCTGCTGTGTCTTTGTAGGTCTCCGCCCGGATATGTGGAGCCTATCTCTTCATTGGATGTCTTTGTTTGAAAGTCCAAGCTGCGCTTTTCCTCCTAAGGAAATGCCAAGGTATCATGTCAGATGAGTGCGTGATGTATATATACATATGAGTGGGGCGATTCCAATGAGGCCTGTGAAAGGCAGCCTCCTGCTTTCTCGATGATGAGAAACATTGCGTCGGGCGGACTGAACAAAACGGGGCTTGCTGTCGTTCTCACCCGCTGAAAAGTGGTCTGGGTCTACAGTAGGTCCTGTCCGTGATCGAAAGACGTCATTAAGCCTCCAAGTGGGGTCGATGAGAGAAAGGAAGGGCAAGTGATGCATATCATGCATGTGTAGCTGTCTGTTTAATACGTAGTTTAGTCATGAGGAAGAGTGCAGCAGGAAGAGGATGGCCGACATGTTGAGGGCGGGGACTTTTGTTTCCGTGCCTTGTTTTATTCGGGTTGTCTTGCGCAGGGTTCAAGATCTACTAGTATGTTGTTAAAGGCAATCAAATGAACAACCAGACCTTTTTAGTTGAAGTAGACTTGTGCATACATGCGGTCTAGTATCGAGTTGTGTAAATGGTTCATTGAGCTCAGAGTTGGACAAGTACTGACAACCTGCTTTATCGAAGCTAACTAGAATCATTGAGCTGCCCGTGGAAGCACTGGCAATTTTACGATGGTGCGCGTAGCTGCGACAATATTAACGTCATTCTATTACTGCATCTCGCTGGTAAACAAATAGCGCTTTTGATAGTCATCACTTGTATCGAATGCTCTTGCATCTATCGATGGTGCTAATGAACGTGGCAGGCAAAGCTAATTTGACGCTGTCAGTTCGTGTCTTCAAGCAATCTCAAAAGCTCTTCTTGCAAAGTGCCTCGTGGTCAAATGGAGGCACAACATACTGCTCCAGCGGATAGTCACGAACTACTGGCGACGTGTAGAGAGGTGCATGCTTCTTATACATTATAGATCATTATTAGGGTGCTAGCGATATGGCTTTACTCTGTAAATAAACTCTTGAGGGTTATATGTTGATAGAGGTGACAATGATTTTAATCGTTTAATGCTTACAAAGATGCCTAAATTTAAATGAAATGGTTTTGGAAGTCGAGCCAAAGGTAGCTATATATACTATCTTGTTTTTCAGACGCGGTTGTGTACGTTGATCCGAGAGACGGTTAGCATCTCCCTCGACAAGGACGGGATTGCGCAAAAGCGTATCCAACCGAAAGGTTTAAGCTCTGTCTCACCATGTGAAGACATCTCCCAAATTTTTGTACGTGTGCATGGCGGTCAAGCGATCCATCGCATCGGAGACCGAAGTCTTAGGCGACATCAACAAGAAAAGACGGCGACGGACAAAGGACGTCGCCTGTCCAGCATCAATCGAGGCAAACAACAATGACGTAAAGTTTTCATGCACGTTTGCTACAGCGTTGGAAAAGACAGAGGCCCTATTGAAAAAGACAGAAGCCCCAGTAAGCACTACTACCATGCAGGACGCTGTGCGTGTGGCGATACTGGTGCCGTTTCGCGACAATCATCCGACGCAACATCGACAAGCGCATTTGGACGAGTTCGTGCCGTACATGACAAAGTTTTTGCACCGTCATTGTGCTGCAAAGAGGTTGTCAAGTAGCAGTTTCCAATATGCAATGGAGTTGACACTTTCTAATGATATTTTGGTCTTCTGTTGCAGTGCGTCCTTCCACATATTCATCTTGGAGCAGTCACTGGATGGTCGCAAGTTTAATCGAGGCAAGCTGCTTAATGCAGGCTTTGACATGTCTCGCAATGACTATGACGTTTACATTTTCCACGACGTGGACCTACTACCTGAAGTATGTGAATAATTGCTATTGGATAAGTGCAAGCGGAAACACGATCTAAAGTCAAATGCCGTGCTTTTGACAGGATGATCTGAGTGAGTTTTACACCTCAGTACCACACGTAGGACCTATGCACATTGCGCGAGTGTGGAAGCGTTACAGCGACAGCTCGAACTACTTCGGCGGCATTGTGGCGTTTACACGCCAACAGTTTCTCAAGGTGAACGGATTTCCCAACAACTTTTGGGGATGGGGTGGAGAGGACAACGAGCTTTACTGTCGTGTAGTGCGCAAGAACCTCATTGTCCAAACACCAACGAGGTCAGTCTCGTGCTACATCTCTCAGCAAATTACTAGATGTCATGATTTCATTGCCTTTGATGTTTGATGTATGTTGCAGCGGTACAGTTCGAGATCTAGAAGCCATGAGTCTAGAAGAGAAGCTGACAGTACTACGTAAAAGCAAATGGAAGTGCACTGTGAAGCGCGAGCTACTGAAGGAGCATCACCGTACATGGAAGAAAAACGGACTCAAAAGTCTTCAGTACGAATACGTGGATGCTGAGGCGATCAATGAGCACTGTACAAAGATCACTGTCAAGCTAGGTCCAAACGGGCACTGGTCGGACTCAAGATCGTCTCTAGAGCACCCAACAGGTCCAGATCAAGACTTGGCTTCGTCTATGGTGCTTACCATCCCAACGACTTTGAAAACAAGCTCTGACATTGCTGCAAGTAGTAAATCTAATGCAAAGGACACGAGTAATGCAGTGGATAGTGTCGCCCATATTGGACCGTCCAAGAAATAGCTTCGTACAATAAAGAGGCCTATATTTTAATTCATAATGATCATCGCAATGACCACTTTAGTATGGACTATAGAAACTCACTCTCTGATTGGTAAAAAGCTCATCGAGTCATTTTGGCTGGACACAAAGACCAAAAGTTGACGACGATGTCGAGCACCTTCTTTGGAGCGCTTACACAGGGCGCCAAGTTCAGCGGCACCACGTTCCAACAGGACAAGCAGCAGTTCAATCAATTGAAAAAAGGTGAGGGTTTTTTGCTGGCAAATCTAACCACTGAATATGCTCATTTTCCATTGTTTTCGGCTGATTCCGAACTCCAGGAGCCAAGAAAGAGGCTGAAAAGACCGTAGAGACTGATGAATTGGATTTTTTCGGCTATAATGAGGTCAAAAAACTTCAAGAGAAGACGCTCAGACCTTGCAAGATCAGTGTCGAGATGGTGCCAGAGTGCGCAGGCAACGACTTGACCATTAAACCCCGTAAGGTCAAAGGTAGCAAACCTCGTCGCAAGCGTAAATTGAGTGAAGGTGCACTCGAGGAACAACGTCTGGAGGATGAAAATCGACTGCAAGCATCACAACTTCTTGCTCCACCTAAGACGAAGGCTGGGAAACGAAAGGAAAAACGTACTCGTCGACGATCGCGCACAGAGTCAATGGAAAGCGAGGCAACATCACAGCAATCGGATGGGGAAACTGCTGTATCAAGTGAGGAGGAGAAGGAGGAGGAGGAGGAGGAGGAAGGAGAGTTGGTGAGCTTGTTCAAGTTCAATGGTGAAAATGCAGACGACAAAGTGACGGTTGGAAAGCCAATAAAGAAGCCGAAGAAAGAATTTACGGAAGCTAGTAAGAAGAACATTATTGCTGCTGCTGAACAGTACGTGGAACGCTGTTTGCACCGTCAAGGAATTTGTAATGTCGATAGAATGCTCACTTATTCGGGTTGTTGTAATAGAGAGGGCGTACAGATGCTTCGACGTCAGCTTGGCATTCGTGTAAGCGGTGTGGCCGTCCCAGCACCGATTACTTCATTTGCTGACATGCGCTTGGACTCCAGTACGAGTGCGCAGCAGATGAAACGTCTGCTTTTGCAGAACATTGAACGCTCCGAGTACAAGGAACCTACGTCTGTGCAGATGCAAGCTATTCCCAGCTTTTTACTTCGACGCGATGTGCTGGCCACAGCACCTACAGGATCCGGTAAGACTGCAGCTTTTGCGATTCCGATGCTAGCAAACCTTGCATCCGGTAGTGAGACAAGCAGCGGTATCCGTTCAATCGTTTTGGCTCCTGCTCGTGATCTGGCAGTGCAAATTCGTGCTGAGTTCATGCGCCTCGTTGTAGGCAAAAAGATGCACATTACGTTACTGTCAAAAGCCACTGCTGCTACCATCGTTTCTCATACGAAGAGCAAACTGGCTGTGAACCACGACGTGCTGGTTGCTACTCCGCTTCGTCTTGTGCACTTGATCCGAGAAGCAAAGGTTGACCTTTCAACCGTTGAAATCGTATGTCTTGATGAAGCAGATAGACTGTTGGAGCTCGGATTTGTGGAGCAGGTCGATGAGATTTTTGCTGCTTGTACTCACGCTAAGGTCCAGCGTACCATGTTTAGTGCCACAATGCTGGAGGGAGTGGAGGAGCTTGCTCAAACCGTGCTGCGCGACCCTGTAAAGGTGGTTGTGGGGACGAAAAACGCCGGTGCGAGTACGATTGATCAAAAACTGGTCTTTGTGGGCAAGGAAGAAGGCAAACTTGTTGCCATGAAGCAATTGTTGCACGACGGGTTTCAGCTTCCCGCGTTACTTTTTGTGCAGAATAAGGAACGTGCAAACGAATTATATCACGAGTTGCTGTACGATGGAGTGAACATCGGTGCTGTTCACGCGGACCGTACCAAAGAGCAGCGTGACGATGTGATCCGGCGTTTTCGCATTGGAGAAGTTTGGGTGCTCATTTGTACAGACCTCATGAGCCGTGGTATGGACTTTAAGGCCGTGAATATGGTCATCAATTACGACTTCCCGCAGGTACGAACATGTTGGCTATGCGCAAGTCTTGATCCCTCTTTAACAAATATGTGTTCTTAACGTTGACAGAGCGCTATTAGCTATATTCACCGCATCGGTCGCACGGGTCGAAATGGACGTAAAGGCAATGCCATTACCTTTTTCACGGAGGATGATATGGTATACCTCCGAACAATCGCTAATGTGATGAAGATTTCAGGCTGCGAGGTTCCTGACTGGATGCTGTCGTTAAAGAAAGCTAGGTATGTAGAAGCTTTTGCTGCTGTGTGTATTTGCTGTCATGCGACTCACTTGATTTTCATTGTTACAATAGTGTGTCGAAGAGGAAGGAGCTTCTGAAAGCACCTCTTATGCGGCACCGCATTAATACGGTGTCCGGATACGACCTTCAGAAGGCAAATCGCTTGCAGCAGATGAAGAATTCGAAACGCAGCAAGGGCGGACAAACGAATAATCCATCTGAGCCAAAAAGCGACGAGAAGAAGCAGGAGCATCTTGGTAATCGCAAAAAGAAGCACAAGAAGAACTCGAGGACGAGTAAATTGAGCAACTCAGACAAGTAAATGCGAGTAGTTGAGCTGACACTTCAATACATATCTTTTTGCCACTAGTGTTGACCAAAGCCCCGTGCTTTTTGCTGTAAGTTGCATAGAATAGAATAGATGATATATATATAGCCATGCTCGCTCGTACTCGAACTGCTTCTTCGGGCTTACATATTAAGTTCCTGGCTCTAGACGGTCAAGATCCTCACTATCCTCATAACTAGGTTTCCCTGTGACTAATGACGGCGGTGCCGTCATCTTGCGGTATTGCAGCAACACAGGGTACATCTTGTCAATAGCTTGGTGAAGGTGGCTCGAGTCACGCGCGCCACAAAGTACGATCTTGCCAGACACGAAGATGAGCAGCGTCAACTTGGGCTCCACGAGCTTGTAGATGAGTCCAGGAAATAATTCGGGTTCGTACTACAGCACATCAATAGAATGACACAATGTAGGTCAGCGTTAGACTTTCCTGGTGGTCAGCACGAGACGACGATGCAGCCTGGGAAACGTACACTTGAAAATCGTGCGTGGTCATTCAGCAGACCTTCCAGACGAATGGGAAAGCGAATGTCACACGTTCCCATAACATTGCGAACTTTAAACTCGGTAAACTTGGCTGGGAAGTTCAGTTTCTAATGACAAGTCATCATGTAAAGTTTCAGTCCAATGAAATGGTATCAATTACCATTTCATTCAAGTTGACATTTTACTGACCTGTATTACACGCGTAAACTTGCGCGCAGCTAATCGGCAACTCTCTTCACTAGTGCCACCGGTAATAACAATCTGTCCCATTAAATCAACAAAAACCACATCAGTAACAAACCCTTGCAAGTAAATCTAATGGCAATACAATCAGACAAGAGACCTTCCCAGACCCAAAAATTAATGCCGTCGTCTTGGGATCTCGCAGTCTCATGATCACTGCCGAAAAGCGCTACAATACAATAATCCACAATAATCAACACCTATCAATTGATACTCTTACTAGGAAAGTAAGCAAATTTTTACCTTAGGATTGTACTCTGCATTACGTGCGTGTAGTGCAATTGTCTTGAGATCAAGTGGCGTTTTCACGTCCACGGTACCAACAACGTTCCTACATGATTGTATCTGTAGTACTCAGACCCTCATTCTTCCAATAGCCTTCAACAAACGACGTGACGTACATGATATTAACCTGTAAATGAAGACGCTCCTCCCAATCGTCATCAATCTGTAGCTCTCGAGCACTAACAGTCTGTAAATCTCGTCCTGGATCCTCAACAAGTGCGAGTTGTCGCTCCTTGACAGTGCGAGAATTGCTGCGTGTAGACACGGCCGACGTATTCCTCATCGTCATCGTGCCTCCAATCACAAAAAAGCTCGTTTTTAGATTTACGTGTATACTTTATTGAATAATCTTTGATGTCTGTGATTGGTCAAAATATCGTGCCACGCTTTTGTGAAGATGCTGCGATCTTGAGTTGCACACGACCTCAACCACTTGCTGTTCTATTTTACTACGAGACAGACACAGTCACTGCTATTTCAACCTATAACACACTAGCACACTTTTCTATCAAACACATACGAGCCTCTTCTACTAGCCACTATCGCAGGAATCACACCAAAACGAATGTCTTTACCCCCCTCTCTCCTGCACAAAATGCGCGCGAGAGAAAGCCAGAGCGGAACGAAACCACCTTGTTTTGTCACGAGGGTTTTTTGAAAACCACGAGGTTTTTTAGCTGTTAAGTATACTTTGACTGGGCGGGAGAGGCGTTATTTTTGTTTTTACCCTCAGTTTTGAACGGGGCGCTTCAGCCGTCACAAAAAAGCCCTAATAACGACCGTCGCTAACTCGAGGGCCTCCCGTCGCCTTCTATCCGACTTATTTTGAAGCGGCAATACAAAAAGTAAGAGAGAGACACGTTTTTCTGTCAGGTACCACCCACCCAAGCCAGTTTTTCTGTCGATTAAAGTCACCTCTCCCTCCCCCTCACACCTCTGTCTCTCTCTCTCTCTCTCTCTCTGTGACGATAATAGACGGACATACGCTTATAAAGTGTCTTGTAGCTCATTTTTGTGCGAGTATTTAAACTATCAGATGGATTCTTTTGGCTTTGACTTCGCTGGCGGCGACTTGCTAGATTTGGGCTCGCTTGGATCGTGGACTAATAGCACACCAATGGGCAATTCACCCAATGGCGGAAGTGGTGGTGGCGCCTTGCCCTTTAGTGTGGGCACTCCTACGGGTGTACAGAGTCTTGGAGATGATCCTTTTGCTTCTATGCCTACTGGAGGTGACAATGACTTTAACTTTGGGGACTCGCCCAAGCCTTCGCCGAGTGCACAGACCCAAAAGGCCGTGGACAATACGCCTATAAACTCATCAGCTGCAATCCCTGCATCCTTATCGTCCGATTCGACTGGCAGTGGTGGTGGTGGTGGTGGTGGAGATATGGCTGCCAACTACTTTGGCGCAGAGCTTGAAGCTAGTGGTGCACCCATGTCGGCCACGGAAGGCACGTCATCTTCCAAGGGGATGACTACTACGTCCTCAATTGGAGATAACAAGTCTAAAACGAAGGTCAAGCATGAGACGGACGCACACGCTACGAAGGAAACTAGCAGCGCATCGGCGTCTGTGCCAGCTTCGACATCTCATTCTGCGTCTTCAACTTCCTCGAAGGCTGTATTACCGTCGTCTGCGTCAGCGCCTGTCAAGGAGGCTACATCTACGGGGACTTCATTGGAAAGATTGAAGTCTTCCTCGTTTAATTCTACATCTACGGCGCCACGATCTGCGCCAGGCAGCGGAACTGTTTCTTCGGCGCCTATCAGTAGTAGCAGCGCCACGAGCATCAGTTCTGCTACGTCTACGCCTTCTACGACGTCATCTGTGCGGCCGCATATTGGTAATCAGCAGCAACAACAACAGATGCAGATGCAAAGACAGCACCAATATGCCAACCAGATGATGATGACCCAACAGAACGTTCAGCCTCAGCAGTTCGTCGGACAGTCGTTCCAGCAGCAAATGCACGCGAGTCAGATGCCTGGAGGCGCGAGCAGTGCTCCACCTACGAGTGGTCCTGGCCAGTATATGGGAGGCCAACCTGGTCAGAGCTATCGTCCTCCCACTTCGTCATATGAAGAAGAGTTTGCGCGGGTGAAGGCTATGATGATGCAGCACCCCGACCTTATCCCTCCACCGATGGAGGTGCTTCGTATCTCGATGAGCCAAAGCGCTGCCAGTCAGCAGAGTATGGCTATGGCTGGAAATGCTTACATTCAGCAGCGTGGTAATCCGGCTGTGGCCCGTGGAGGTGCCCCTGGTAATGCGGCATACGGGCAGTACGGAAACCCGAATGTGATGATGGGTGGACCTCAGCAAAATGCACCACCGACAGGAATGATGAATGCGGCACGAATGCGCGCGGCGCAAATGGCGCAGCAGCAGGCCCAACAGCGTTCTTCGGCTGGCCGAACGCCTAGTGGCAGCAATGACGCACAGACTGCATGGCAATCTGAGAATGACCTTCCTCTGCGACGGAAGATGATTGGCAAAATGTACGTTCTTGTCACTGAACATGCTGCGAGACAACAAATGGGGATACTTATTACTTTGTTACAACGTTTTTGATGCCATGCAGTGTCAGTTTGTTGCAGCAACGAAAACCCGATGCACCTGCCGAATGGATCCGGCGGTTGCCAGACATGGCTAGGAGACTAGAGGATTCATTGTACCGTACTGCAAAAAATCGAGACGAATACGGGGATTTTTCGTCCCTGAAGACTCGACTCCAGCATTTGGCAGTGACGATGGGTGCACGTGCACAGCACAAGGCTGGTGGAAATCCTCGCGCTGCAGGCGCAAGTGGCGCACCGGTTAGTACGGGTGGCACGACCGGAAACAATGTGATGATGACTGCCAACGCCCCGCCAGGCATAGCTATGAATCCGGGCGCTGCTAGTTTGGGCCCTCAAGGCCATGTCGTAGGCAATATGCCTTACGGAAACCGAATGACTCAGCAGCAATTGATGCAACAGCAACACTTGCAGATGCAAATGCAGCAGAACCCCCAAATGCGGCAGCAGCTTACTCCACAACAGTTGCAGCAATTCCAAGAAGCTCAGCTGCAGCGACGGCAGCTTCAAATGCAGCAGGTACAGCAGCAGGCTCAAATGCAGCGCCAAAATACGCTGCAACAGCAGCAGCAGTACCAACAGAGTCAAGCACTACAACGGCAGAACTCAATGCGTCAAATGCAGCAACAGCAGATGCAGCAGCAGATGCAACAACGCCAGAACCCGAGCTACATGCAACAGCAGCAGCAGCAACAGCACCAACAGCAGCAACAGCAACAACAGCAGCACCAACAGCACCAACAGCAGCACCAACAACAGCAGCAACAACAGCAACAACAACAGCAACAACAACAGCAACAACAGCAGCAACAACAGCAGCACCAACAACAGCACCAACAGCAACAGCAGCATCAACAGCAGCATCAACAGCAGCACCAACAGCAACACCAGCAGCAACAGCAAGCTCAAGCTCGCGCGCAAGCCCAAGCTCAAGCCCAGCGGAGTGGTACAGCAAATGGTGCTGCGAATCAGCAGCGTATGAATGGTGATATGAGTCTTGGTGAATCTTCAGACTTTTTGAATTTGGACTTGTCGTCGTCATTGCTGGGGTCTGATGACCTACAGAGCGATGGGAGTTCAGGTCTTGCTGGAGGCGACGCAACGAAAAGTGGAAACAATGATTCTGCTCACGTAGTAGGTCAAAAGCGCACGCTTTCTCAATCGCAGCAGCAAATGGCAGCAGCGGCAAATGCGGCTGCGTTCAAGCGGACAAAAGTAGGAGGAGGTGCCGGTCAGCCGGGGGCAGTCCCGAATCAGCAGCATTCTGGTGCAGCAAATTCTGTACCTCAAGTCTCACAGCCCTCGCATGCAGTGATGCAAAAACCCGTGACTAGTACTAGCGGCTCTTCGAAGACTCCACCGATGAGTACAGTTAACGCCAAGTAATAATCAGTATGAGAGACGATCGATAGTCGAACGTGGCGGCAACAAGCAACGACGAAAGAAGCATGGAAGGAAAATTATCAGAATGAGCAAGCGGAACACCACGGAGGCTCCGTTGGACAATACGGTCACGGGAAGCCAGAGGGAAGTGCCGTGGCGTGTGTATATGCTGCAGACCTTCTCATTTCCCGACTTGGTGCGTAGCGAAGGAAGCTGAGCTGGCCTTATTTGTTAGGGATGGTGTACCGTCGGATGAGTAGTAGACAGAGTGGGCTTCAAATGGGTCTGGGAGTCCCCTCACGTTTGACGTGCATCATCAAGGACAGCGACGCAATCCAAGCGATGACATAGGACATTGTGAGTCAGCTGCCTTCTGCACGGCCGAGATGTTTAGGCGAAGCCAATGTGGCTTGAAATGAATCTGTAAAATGACGAATTTGATTCATGTAGTTGTGTCAAACATGTACGTTATATTTTCTCATCCTGCCATGTCATTTCGATTGCCGGCAGTCCTGAGGGTCATTTATGCTACTGTTTTGACAACGTTTACTTCACAGTTACTTCAGTACGTTTACTTGAATACAGTATCGCTTTACCAGTCAGATAAATGAAGCTCGTTGAAATTGTCGCTTCCGATGAGATTGATTCTACGGCACGTGAAGCCCAACAGCGCTTCGTGGCGTTGGAATTTCCTGCACAGTTTGGTTCCAAGGTCATGAAGCACCTTTTGATGAATTTTCAATCTCTATCGGAGCTCGGGTTTGGTCACCTGAAACGATTAAAAAAGCATCCAGAAATCCCGCAAACTCTTGTGGCACTCGTTTGTCCTTTGGATTGTAATGATCAAAGCATTGAAACACCTTGTCAAAAGTTGCAAGAGATGGAAACAATGTATCAAGCTCGTCTCACGACAGCGAGTGCTCTACGACTGGCACCGTGCACTCGTGAACTGTTTGAGAAATACACAAAGCAGTGGCCACTGATCTTCCATGCTAGTGTTGAGGAAGCTGCGACGTTGTCGGAAATTGAAGAAGGGGAGATGGAAAACATGATGAAACGTTTGAGTCTGGCAGTGGATCTTGGAGAAAAGTTGAGGGAAGAGGAACAGCAGACTTTGAGTTGTGCGTCTGTCTGTGTAGTGGTGGATCCAGAAGTAGACGAGCTCGTTGCTACATCGGAAGTGAGTGCTGAGATGCAATGTAAATATAAGTTTAGGACGCTGTATCATCCTGTGATGGTGTCGATTGATGCTGTTGCAGAGCGTGATCGACGACAAGGAGAAGCGTTGGATGGGGAGACGGCTCACAAGAAGCAAAAGTGCATTGATGGAGACGCTACAGCGAATTTGAAGAAGGACGAAAGGAGGCAGAGGCAATCCTACTTGTGCACGGGGTATGATGTGTACCTTGATCGTGAACCGTGCGCTATGTGCGCTATGGCCTTGGTGCACAGTCGCGTTCGGCGTGTCATTTTTGATCGCGCTAATCCAGGCGACGGTGTGCTCGTGAGTTCTTGTCAAGCTGCACACCATAAAGTCGCTGAACCACCACTACCGTGTCTTTCAACTGGCAGCTTCGTCTGAAAAGGAGGCGATGGAATAGGAGATATGCTGTATAAAGCACATGTGCTCCAGAGCGGAGAGCCAGGCTAGACGTGCACCTGGCTCAATTGCAAGCGATGAATGTACTAGAGGCTTCTGAATTTGGACAAAAAAAGTTTACGTTACGTAATTCTACCTCGAGTCTTCGCAAGCGTCTTCTACACATGATCGAGAAATTGTTGGGGTGCTTTACTTTTCACCACGTCAAACACCCATAGCGGGCTACCACGGGGTTGATCGAATGCGTACCAAGATCGGCATGATTTTGTCTAACATCGCTGAACTTGGTTACAGTGACAAAATTCGATCATCGGGCTGTGGCAGTGCAGGTAAACAATCCTTTCACTATGTTAAGCATCACGGGTTATGCAAGACACAATCAGCGTGCCTGGCATTTCATGATAGATGTCAAAGAAACTCACGTTTGCAAGCAGTTCGGCCACAAGCAGTACAGTCGGTGATTGAAACACGAACATATCGTTATCACGATGTTGGAGTGGAAAGACCCTTGATGACGCAAAACTTCTTCTCATATTCAACAAACGTGTTCTTGAAAGCGTCTACGTGAAGCTTCTTGATAGCGATAGGTCGTACCGAATTTAGTCACCATGCCAAAGACACCGAATGAGGTCGTAGAGATCTTGCCTGGCATCTCGAGATCGCAAATTTAGTGCGTGAAATCGATAAGGCGATTCCTCCCATTCTTACGACAGGAACAGCATCCACCGAAAATGAAATTGCATGGGACAATGCTGCCAAGAGCTTAGAATGGACCACGCAGAGCTGTACAGCTGCTTTTACTGTATGCTCCTCGCCTTGAATACCCAAGCGCAATTTCTTAGACAATCGAGCCGATTCATACTTGGCGCCTGCGACTCGGGTCCTCGCGTGGATTGCTGTTTGTCTCCCACAATGTCTAGAGTTAGAGCCATTAAATATATATAGAGACAGAACTGCGTGCTGGCTGAGGAGACTGACTGCAAGTTCAGTTTCTTATTGCTGCTGCAAAGTTATGATGATGGTACAGTGGGTTTAATGACACCAGCAGGCATTTCAATAGCGTCTAGTGTGAAGTTGCCAAACGCTCCTCGACGGAATTCCTGTAACAAGAACTGCGCAGCCAAACGATCTTGCTCGTCAGGTTCCTTGCCCAATGCACCGCAACGCTTGTACACCAACTTGAATAGCTCGCCGATGTTGTCCGTCAGTCTTGGAAGTTTCAATGCGTCCACATATCGCGTCGACTTCATCTGATTGAGCAGAAAAAGCATGTAGTCTGCAATCAACTCGGTCCCCACGACTTCATCCTTGATAGCTCCCGTTAGGGCCAGTCTCATTCCCGTCTCAGCCGATGAGATATTTGGCAGCATCACACCAGGAGTATCCACCACATAAACTGCCGGTTTGTCATTCACCTAGAAGCAACAGAGGTTAATAACCTCTACATCTTCTTTCATCTTGAGTAAGCTACACACACCTTGATGATGTCATTGCGGACGGTGACGCCGGGTGTAGGTCCGACATTGGCTCTCTTCCGGCCTTTAGCCAATTTTTGCGAGCTCGACAGACGTCGGAACTCGTTAATAAGCGAGGATTTGCCTACATTGGGGATCCCAACCACCATGACCATAGATCCTGCAGTACTCTTAAACTGGGCCTGACTGTGTTTATTACACCATTGCAGGATGGCCTGCAACCGTTTGCCTTTGGTCACAGACGTGAAAAGACAGTCGGTTGCCGATCCGTGCTCATTTTTGCACTGTTTTTCCACTCGTTGCTGCATGTTATAGTTGGCTAAATCACACTTGTTAAAGACAACAAGACGAGGCTTGGACTGTCCGAAAGCTTCCTCCAGGACGGGGTTGGCCGAACTCCAAGGGATTCGAGCGTCACGCACCTCGATCAACACATCCACAGCGTCCATTTGAGCCACCATTTGACGTCTAGCAAGAGCCATGTGACCTGGAAACCAGTTCACTTTAGCAGGATACAAAAATTTGGACCGGAACACACTCATATTCACGCAGGACGGCAATGCAGGACGCAATGCAGGACGATTGGTGCTTAATAATGTTTTGATTTACGGAATGTGTGCACCACACACAAGAAGACGTTGAATGATTGGATAGAAAAGCTAATAAAATGGTTTTGATTGGTACATACATATGCAACATTACGTCAGCTCGCTAATTCGAATGCTGCAATTTAACAAGCCTCAGCAGAATTCAAATGTTGCTGTAAATCGTATCGAGGCATTTTGCGGAAACATTATGTACTTCAGAAATATGCGTATCTAAGTAACTTATGTTGGCTACCCAAATTTTCAAAGATTACGTCGCTAGAATGATGGCCACCATGTAAATGCTCTGCATAGCCTCATCGGATCTCTTAATCTCTCGTACCACAGCTGGTCTTTCTTTTTCCAGCCACGACATACTCAAGTATAGTGTTTTTGCGGGACAGAACGACAGTGTAGGAAACCTGTCGGTAGTGCGTGTAGCCAAGTTTCCTACTGAATGCCCATTGTTTTAGCTACCACCAGCACGACTCCTAGGCCGCCAAGAACGGTGATGTCATAACAAGTTTATATCCGGACTTCTCCGTGAATTGCTTTGCTGCACAACAACTTAGGGCTCCTAGAGCACCCCTTGGAAGTTCTGTCACAGCCTAATAGCTCATAACCAATCAAGGGTCACGATTGTTCAAATACCCTTGAATGAGTGACAATAGGAAGACTGCTAGTGTCTTACGTTGTTCAAAACCTGCAGCCCCCACCAGGAGGCATACATACATAATCTACGACTTACTAGATAGCTGCTGCAATCGCAGCAAGATGGTACATAATGTAGAAATTTTGCGACCGCATGATCGATTGTTGGCTTTTAAACTGATTGGAGGACAAGTGTGCTCTGACAAAGAACTCGTGCGGGTGGTTTACATGAGCTATAACGTACTAATTGACTAGCTGTCTAATTCATCAATTAACACCTGCCTATGCGAGCACAAAGCAGCTCAATGTGCCACTTGAGAAGCAAAAGTTTAAATGAGACGGGAACTAAGTTCAACACTCTGTCAACTTCAACTTCAACAGCAACTTCGTGCTCACTTCGGTCGGATCAATCTATTGGTCAAAATACTTAAAAAAAGCCACTCTGTCGCATAATTGAAAATGTCGTCGCGTATCCGGGACGCGATGCGGCGTTCGACGTCTTCTTCCGTTGCTACTTCAGCTGCTGCAATGACACGTACCTTTCGGTTGGCTCGTCAATCCGGCTGTTTAAACTTGTCGTCACGTGACTTCCACACGTTTCCTGACGAGATTTTCTGCCTATACGAACTCCTGGACGAAGACGAACATAGTTGGGAGTGCGCCGTTCTTCGCAAATTGGACCTGAGGTATACAAAATATTAACAATTCTAATGCATTTGTTGGTAGTTTGGGTCTGACTAAATAATTGTGCTTGTTGTCTTCAGCTACAATGAGATTGCAGAGCTGCCAAGTCAAGTGGGGACGCTCAAGTATCTTATAAGCTTCAAGATGCGCCACAACCATCTGCACCAATTGCCATTGGCTTTGTGGAGCTTAGAGACGCTTACGAGTCTCGACCTCAGCAAGTAGATATTGCAAGAATGAGTGAGTTACAAAATACAGTCAACAAAACTGATCCGCACATTGTTGTGTTTGTTTTGTAGCAACAAGTTGGAAGGATGTTTATCGGAACAATTGGGAAAGCTGTACAAGTTACGGGAGTTAGGACTAGAGGGCAACATGTTGACAAAGTTGCCCGATTCTATCGGCGAGCTCGTTCACTTAGAGGTGTTACGGGTGGAGAATAACCAGTTGAGGACGTTTCCTTCGACAATTGGTCGTCTTCGTAATCTAAAAACGTTGTCGGCGCATTCGAACCAGATCGCAGACCTGCCGCTGTCCTTTGGTTTACTTACGGGTCTGCTGACGCTGGATATGAGCAAGAACCGTTTAGTTACTATGGGTGACGCTCTTCCTGAGCTTGTGTCGATCAAGTATATTGATCTGCGTCAGAACAAACTGGAAGTGTTCCCGACGCTGCCAAAGAACAACACGTGCTTGGATCAGCTTTTTCTTGGTTTTAACATGCTACGTGAAATTCCAGATGACATCATTTTGAATGTGATGGAGTCGATCACGGTGCTCGATGTGCGTGACAACAAGCTGCAGCATTTGTCAGACAGGATCCCTCAGTTATACCGACTCAAGACACTCGATGTCACCAACAATGATCTGCACGATTTACCTGCAGGATTAGGCTATCTTAAACATCTCGATCATCTGCTTGTTGAGGGCAATCCATTGCGCTCGATTCGGCGAGATATAATTTCTTCTGGTACAGAGCCACTCAAGAAATACCTGCGAACCCGCGGCGGACCTCCTGTAGGAGTTGACGCCATGGAGGAGGAGATTGACGAGTTTACCATCAGACAGCGAAACACGGAGCAAGATGAGCCCATGGCTGATGAACCACCTCATGAGGATGAATATTTGTTCCGGAACGCTGCCGCATCAGGCAATTTGCATCTGGTAGACATGAAACTCAAGCGACTGCCCGACCAGCTTCATTCCGCGGGAAAGTACAATTTTGGAGAAACTCTGCTTCAGCTCGATATTTCCGAAAATTGGCTGCTGGAGTTACCTGAAGCAATTGGCGATCTGAAATCGCTGCATTCACTCACTGCAGAGAAATGTGGATTGAAATCGGTACATCCTTCGATCGCGATGATCCCGAGCCTGGAACATTTGCGACTGAGCAAAAACTCGTTGACGACAGATGCTATAAATGCTATGCTCGTCGCGGGAAATCGTTCCAGCATATGCTTATCTCTGAAGGAGCTGGACCTCCGCAACAATAATTTGACGGATATCCCGCAGAAGCTTCAGTATTTGGAATTGATGGATACTCTTGTTCTTTCATCCAACCGTCTTCGAGTGCTGGATGGGTTTCCATGGTCCACAATGCGCCAGCTTTCTGTGCTAAGCGTTGCTAACAACCGCGTATGGACTTTATTACGTTCGACGTCTGCAAAACTTTCATTGGTCTAAACCACGCTGTTATGTGTTATGTAGCTGGAGTCCTGCGGAACAGTTCACCAGGTGCCGAAGTTGACATCGCTCTCTTTAGAGAACAATGAGTTGCGACAGGTATGAGAGCTCCAGATTGCTTTTGGCCGGAAATATGCTCATTGTGTATATGTCTGTTTCCAATAGATTCCTGTAGAACTTGCGCTCTGCGATAACCTTCGTGCCCTCTACCTGGCTGGTAATCCGCAGCGAGGAATTCGTGCTTATATCTTGAGTCAGGGCACCGAAGCAGTCCTGAAGTTTTTGCGCAATCGACTTTCTCCACATGTATTAGAGCCTGCCACTGGCAATAAGCCACACAACTCTGTCAAAAATGCAGCAAGTCCGAGATGTGTACCCCAGTCTAACCAGAACACCGATGGAACCAAGTCTCAACACAGAAATTCTGTCTCGAACACGTTAGAGTCGAAGCAACTTCGTGTGGATGCATCTACTTCGCCGTCGGAGCCATCGACCTCCGAGCTATCATCTTCAAAGCCGCCTCCTGCACTAGCACCTGTTGAAGGCACTGTTGCAGCTGCGCCTTCACTTGCCGAGGACGAAGTTCTAGTTGAGCTGAATGCCAAAATCCTCAAACTGGAACAACAGTTGGACGACTTTGCCGTAACAGCGGCTAAACGTTTTGCCTTGAAAAAAGACTTAGCCATGACGCGATCACTGAAGATTCGTCATTTGCGCAAGACCGGTCAGAAGCCCTAGATGCACTATCGATAATGTGACACCATGTATCGGATTCATATATCTTTAGCTTCCATTACGCAAAATGCAAATAGCAATCATTGCGACAACACCAACTTTTACCTGAGCACAACAGAAGATCTCAAGGGTTGTGCTCTCACAAGGACTTTGACCATAATGCACTCGAAGAAGATTCGCGAGGTCGTATGCTATAGCAAGTCACGTGCACGAAGTGAACACCACAACGCACATCTCACAAAAAGCCAAACAACCTTTATTAATTGCCTACATGGTCGGTCGATTTATGTCTCCGTGGTACAAACTTGTTTGTGCTTACGCAGTCGTTGCGACAAGTGGGTCTTGCGCCAACGGCTTCGGTTGCCGCATCTTGTGATGGACGTACTCAAATACGAAGCCGGCGGTAGCCACGGCAGCAATCACACTAGCCACAATAATGCTATTCGAAAGTCCTGTGGAAGAGTTCGTCTCTTGCGTAGATCTCGATTCGGTAGTGCCTGCTACCGTGTTCTCCAAACCTTCCGACGGCAACGAGTCGCCGGAGCCCTTTCCAGCGGAGAACAATCTTGTTACCAACACACCGCACTGCGAAAGTGATAGCTGCATATCGTCATGATCCAGGTCGCCGCTCAACGGCGACGCCAGCTTCACAATCACCGATCCCTTTATAGTCGAGTTCACGCTACTCACTTTGACCGTTTCGCTTTTATCTGCCAACGACACGTTGAGTGAAATACCCGAGGAGGAACAGAAAGTGTCCGTTGTCAGAACCAACTCTGAACTTCCACTCTTCAACCCACTGGCGTCTAAGATATCAAAGGTCGGAGCCGTCATACTGCCCACACTTACAAAGTTTGAGTGCGTGCTACTTGCCACCGTCATGCCCACAATCAACGCCGTAGCGTCTCCAGTACTCCCGTCACAGGGAAGTGGCTGACTCCACGTCACTTTGCCCGTACAGGCTTCTCCATCACAGCTGACATCTCGGACCTGTACATTGTTCATCAACTCCATCGTACATGTCGTGTCCGTGCTCGCTCCTCTGCAAATATGCGCCTTATTGCAGCTTTCCACACTCGAGAACCTCGAGCCACTGATCTCGAGCTCCGTGGCGCAAACCGAAATGCTTGCCGTGCCGCTATTCATGACAGCAGCTGCCATTGTCTCAAATGTAGCAATTGTCACAACGTCTGAGTTACCTCCAGCCGTCAACTGTGCTGTTAATTTGTTGTTCACTCCATTGTTCTGCAATGCGATGGCCCAATCCAGAGCAGATTTAAAGTTCACAGTGACAGCACAAGCTTCGGCCGTGCACCCATCGGCCGCCACGAGCGACGACAGAACAGGGAGTATCGTGTTGCTGGTGTCACAGCTTGGGAGGGATGATACCCCGAAGCTGAGCACGTACTGGTTGTTTTTAGAGCTGTCGTAATTGCAAAAGTTCACTTGGACAGATGTCGCCCCGCCTCTTACAGACGTCGCTGTGCCGTCTAGCATGCACGTCTTACCACCACATTCAGAGCAGCTTGCGGCCGAGTTCGCCGACGAGAGTAGACATGCAATGCCTATAAGTACCAGGAACGTCTTCATATACGATAATCGATGACAACAGAAGGACACCTTACTGGTGTATGTGCGTTACCGTTTTTTATACACTAAGTGCACTTTGTTTCGAATAAAAAATAGAGCGAGAGTGGTCGAAACAACCTAACCCGTAAAGATACAGCCAAATCTCTCTATAGTGATATTATCATGAAATTCTATCAAAAGGGATTATTGCGGAAGATCGGGGGAACTTACATGTCATTGTGCTGGCTGGCTGGCAATCGAATCAAGTTTACATCTTCATCGTACAATGTAATCATACGGTGGAATTGCTCAGCAGACAAACTGATGCTCTCTCATGTAGTAGCAAAATAGGACTACAGTACATGTAAGTTACACGAACGACCAGAGGGAAAGACCAAGTTTGTCGTTTATGGTGATGCAAGGAAGCAAATCATCAGGTCTTGGGATGGTGGGTAACGCATGTATATAAAAAGAGAGCACTACCAGAAACTGTAAACTGGTTCTGAACGATTCGCAACGTGTATTATAACGCATTCTTTACAATAAGCTGACCAGTATTATCACAACATTAGTCTGTCGATACATGATATCATGAAAAAGAGAACTTTCATGTTTTGCTTAGTGAATATAAGTCAAAATGAGTGGGATGATCCTGACCCTTGTACATGAGACAAACGTAAAAGAATCATGCGGTCGGGATACAAGACCGGCTCTGTTCTGTTGATGATGTCTGTCTCGACTTTCGAAGCAAGAATGTCCGTCAGCAGAAACTGCCTTCAGCTCTAGATCGCTATAGAGAGGTCAGAAGCTCTGCTTATTGTTGTCGAGAACGTATCCTGCATAGCCGTATAGTACTGTTGTCCGTAACGGTGCAGAAAAAGCAGGAAATGTCTCATACATTTTCCGCAAAAACAGCAGGTAGATGAACTCAAGGATTCGAAATTATACACGTTCTTACATACTAAGTATACATTGCCGTACTGTCTTGACTAATTATCGAACGATTGCAAGAAATGATCCGCGAAGTGTGGCGCATCGAGTTGGGCGTTGGCGTAGGACCCTTCCGTCTTGGTGCCAGCATTGCTGAGGCATTACATGCGCTTAAGACTCGTCTACCTGTACATCCTTTTGAGATCTCGTACAATGCTGTGGATCCCTATAAGCGCGACGTTGTCGTGGATTCCGCCGAGGATGGATTTAGAGTATGGAATTGTCGTGTTTTCTTCTTCTTATTGTTATGTATTAACTACTGACATTGATCTCTGCTAGCTGCACTTTGATTCTATACGACAGACGCTCAAGTCAATCGAGTTTTACAATGTGAACCGCGTTGCGCTAAAATTCGGTCGTGTTGTGATCTTTGGCGGTGACATTGCTGCCACTTTCATGTCTGTGTATAATGTACGCAATCAAAGCTTTGCTTATCGGTATTAGTGCTAAGATTTTGGCTGGCTGTACTTATCTCAATTATGTGGAAATGCTGCAGCTGTTTGGACCGACGTTCCCAGGCCACTACGATGCTGCTGAGCAGGTCGATATTCTTTTCCTCATTACTTGCTATATAGCCTTTCATTCATACTCATAGTCGATGCGTATAATGACGATACAGAGCTATATATTGGGCTACCAAGGTGGTTGCGTCAAGTTTCCAATTCCAGCTGAGTACCGTAATTTGTACGAGAACGGTACGGACTTGCCTCTGGAATTTCCGGTACGTGCCCTTACTTCTTTTGTCCATTTAGAGGATATTAATCGCCGGTTGTATTATAGAACGGTGCCACTCCAGCTGCTACTGGGCTCACGGTCTTTATGGGTGGAGATTATTGGTCTCCTGGACTTCCAGCTCCAACGAAAAAGTAATGTTTGTAGGTTCGGATTATTACATGCAGAACGTGAGTGCTTACTGTGATACTATTTACAGATACTACTTTGAAGAAATTGAAGTCGATGTTGGTAAAAAGCACACATCGCTTGTTTTTACTGGCCGCAAACAGCGCATTCAGCTTGGGTGGTCGCCTCAGGTTTTACAATTCCTAGCATTTATCAGATACAAATTGCAATGTCTTACACTATCAAATGCGTTTTGCAGGAGGTGATAAGCGAGATAGGTGTACCAGTCTCTGTGTTTCGAAGGGCGGAAGACCCCAACGATGGGTACGGTTCAACTGAATTGAAAAGCAATGGTACATGTAGTGCTGATGTATTGTTCACTCGGTGTTGGAATTGGCAGGGCCACCGTTGCTGGAGGTCTCGTCAGCGACTATTTTCACAACTACCCTCACCTAGGGCTGGACGTATTATACGATTCAATGCATCGTGCCTCAAAGGTGATTCTGAAGACCAACGCACTCGGGTAAGACGTGTACAATTTTGTTCATATAAGCCGGTGTTGCTCATCTGTGAGTTTCTGGTTTCCTCATTGCAAACTACAGACATCCGGATTTCGGCGCCTACAACAAGTGCAATTTTCAGCTCAATTTCCAATCCGCAGAGATGCCAACGAAAATCAGCTCAAAAATCACGCCTGAAACTCCGGTATAGTCGCTTTTGGCTTATTTGGCAGCAAACGCATAGATTGTCTTGACACACCGCATTGCTGGTGGTTTTAGTGGAAGGATATTCGCTTGGTATTTGGAAGAGTGTCAGACTTGCGGCCCATCGTCCACGATAACGGTTTGGGCCTTCACCCGTTTGGTTCAAGCTTGTGTTACTCGCCAACACCAGGGTGCATCTTTGAAGTGATGAAGAACGGTTTCATTGCGAGTGTTACACTCACATCCTCGAGCTAAGATAAGTATTTGTTTCCATGTACGAAGCGTCGTTTCTGCTCGTGAAGAGTGCATGCTCTATCGCAAGAAGATGTGGGTATCGGTATGCTGTTGCACGTCTATCTAACATTTCAAGCGTGTGAAAGAAGAGTTGAATTAATAACGCCTTTGGTCGTAAGGCTGTCCCGGCGGTGGTGGTGGCTGCTGCTGGCCATTTACTCTGTAGTGTGCTGGCGTAGGTGGAGGCGGGGGTTGACGGTACCGTGGTGGCTGAGGTTGGCCATAAGGTGTGCATAGTACTTGTTGCGGCTGCAAGTAAGCTGCAGTCGGTGGCGGAGGGTACTGCTGGTATGAGGCCTGGGGCGGGTGTGGAGGCAAATTGTGCGCACTGTGCGATGGCGGGGGCTGGCAATAGCCACGCGATGGAGCTTGCTGAGGTTGCGGCATACCCACTCCATGATACGCCGGCATGGGTAGTGGGGACACTCCGTTGCCTCGAGGAGACGTATATTTCGTGTTTCCATACACCGCGGGCGGTCTTGCTCCGCCAAAACCGCCTGGCTGCGTGTATTTCGTCACACCACCGTATGGTTGAGTCTGAAACGCAGGAATTGTGGTCACACCGGTAGCAGGCATCACGGGCATTGGCGGCTGCTGAACATACCTACCGCGACCTCCGTGAGGCGATGTATTTTGTCGAGCACGGTAGTCCGTGAAGTTGCCCTCACGGCCACCGCGACCACCACGTCCACCGCGATTTGCGCGTCCGCTGTAGGACGGCACGAAGCTAGCGTTGTCGCCTGAAATGCTCGGCGCAGTACCCCGATTTCGCTTGCGCTTTCCTCGCTTCGAAGCTGCCTCGGCTTCGTCATCTGAAAATTCCGTCTCCTCAGTCTCTTCGTCAAATAAATTCGAAGCATCCGTGCCCTTGTCTTTGATATTCTCCGGGATAATGTACGTTGTGTGCTCCGTCGCATAGTAGACAGCAGTATTGACCGCAGCTTTCTCGGGCATCTTGCTGGCATTCTCAAACCGAACTAAATACATTGGCATCAGGATAGGACCAAAGACTTCATCCACACATCCAAGCACGGTGCGGTCCTCTAAACACAACACACTCCCTTCGTCCAGTGGTTTACTCTTTGAATTGGACTTGATCGTCATCATGAGACCGGGCAAACTCACATTCAAGATACTGCCACAGTGAATGACAGGGCAGTCCTTCGTTAGCTCTACATCTGGCTCACGCACAGGTGCAGTCACAACCTCGTGCTCAGTCGTCAAAAGTCCGCTCATCTTGTTGTCTTTCTTCGTCATGGCTGCTTCGATCTCTTCCCGCAATTTAACAGGGTCCTCGTCCTCTTCGTCGCTCGAACTCGAGCTCTCGCCAGCAGCTTCGACTTCACGCGCCTTACTCTTTCCAGTGTGTTGTTTCACTGTTGCTTCGTCTTCCGAGCTTTTGTCGCTATCGCTGTCGTCGACAACAACAGCCACCATTGGCGCTTTAACACCCTCGATCATAGTCGTAGAGTTTGCAAACTGCGACGTGATTGAGTGAAGCTCAGCATCTGCGTATTGCGCTGCAACTGCCAAGTCCGATACCGGCTCGGAAGTCATCGACGCATCCATGGTAAAGCTCAATTTTGGTCTGCAACAAGTCTCAGGAGCTCCAATCAAAAAAAAGTCTGTAAAGATGGCATAGAAACTATTGAAACGAATACCGATGCTAAAAAAGGTATCAAGCTGATAATCCGAACGTGCTCTCCAACTGAATGTCGTTATCCTAGTCAAGCTCATCTTATTGGTCATCCTAACTATACATATGACAACTCTTTTCATTGGTTGAAAACACGTGGTCGACAATTACAAAGATCTTTTCACTCATCATTCTCAATTTTCCTGGTCCCAGCACAGACACTTTTCTTCCAATTTCTTCCAAAATGTCGTTCGAGTTGCCGAAGATCTCGTATGAGTACAACGCGCTGGAGCCGTTCGTGGACACGGCGACTATGAACATCCATCACACCAAGCATCACCAGGCTTACGTGAACAATATTAACAAATACATCGGATCTGACAAGGGCGGCGCTCTCAAGGGCAAATCCATTCTTGAGGTAGTAAAGTCAGCCACTGATGCGCCTGTGCGCAACAACGGTGGCGGTCACTACAACCACTCGCTCTTCTGGACGTGGATGACGTCGCCGGGATCAACCAATACGGCCCCACACGGCAATCTCAAGACCCGCATTGACGAGGATTTTGGCTCACTTGACCAGATGAAGCAGGAGTTTAACGCTGCCGCGTCGACACGCTTTGGCTCGGGCTGGGCTTGGCTTGGTGTGAAGGACGATGGCAAGCTCGCCATCACGTCTACCCCTAATCAGGATAACCCACTGATGCCTGGCGTGGACCAACCACTCATTCCCATCCTGGGTCTGGATGTGTGGGAACACGCCTACTATCTCAAGTACCAGAACCGCCGCCCTGAGTACATCTCAGCGTTCTGGAATGTGGCCAACTGGGATAAGGTCGTTGAGTACTATGACAACTTTGCCTCGAAAGGCAAGGCCGTGGACATTTGAGGTCGAGAGCAAGAGGAGACGACAGCGATGCATTCATCGCTGTGAGTCGGGGATCTGAAAACTGCTTTCTTCAGGTTGTGATGTATTTTGTTTTCTTTGGTGAAGGAAACGGGCGCGCTTGAAGATTGTCGTGTCGCTCGTTACCTCGTAGCTCCCCTACATTTAATTTCAAATGGAGTTCTTTCCATCGATTTGACTGTTTGATGTTAGTTTGTGGTAGGAAGAAACGATCCTAGCGTATAGCACTCAGTATAGTGGCAGCACCACTACTTGGTCGAAAGTGAGGGTTGTTCGTTCAATAGAGATTCTGCAGCGAGCACAACGCGGTTGATCCGTTGTCGTCTACAGGTGCAGTACAAAGAAGGCATTCAATTAGGTGACAATGCGTGAGTGTTTACTACCAGCTAGTTGTTGAGACTTCATAATGTAATTGATTCGCTGACAATACTCTACTATCGGCGCTCCTGCTCGTGGATTTCACGCAACATCCAGGGGCGCTCGCCAACGAGCTCAGTATTACTGTCACGCTGTATCCGAGTACATCGTAGTGGACGTGAACGCGCGTCGTTTCCGTAGCTAGTATAAGCTAGTGGCCTCAAATCTTGCTGCCATTAGCGCAATATAATTCGCGTGAAGTTTGCCGTCAACAGCATGAAGCACATGTGGACGTATGACCAGGAGAAGGAGAAGGAGTCGATCGTGTCGTTGTTACGCACTACCACGGTGAAGCTACTGCATCCGAACCTGCTGCAGGACTAGTATGGTCAGCCCGGAACACACGAAGTTCCAACAAATCTGAAAGAGCAGCACTAACTCAACGTCATGTCAGGGGACGCCAAGTACCGTTTAACTCGAAATTTGTGTACGTGACACCTCTGAACAGGTTTGTACGACAAGAACGTCACTTTAAACCTCGTCATGATCAGAGCAATACGGTGGTGCCGATATGTCCATCAATAACTGTATACGTCTGCACGAAGAAAATCTAGGGTGGCAAACCTGTCGCTTTTCGCCCGTTGTCAGACACACCACGACAAGAAGTCGTCGTACTGCATTCTGGCGGCCAACTTCGCCACCACCTACTTGACGACGTGCCTACACAGCGTGAAAAATCTGGAAGAGCGTCATCTGGTGTCTTTGATCGACCAAAGACTGTGAGAAACTGGAGCGATTTGATGGCAAGGGCTACGTTTGAAGGTAAAGGTAGACGCGAAAAAGCGTGACGAACATGGTGTATGTTTTTAAAAATGGTGCATGACCCGTGATGCTTTCGACTGCATAGAGTCTAAAGCCAGAGAAAGACATCTGGATTGACTGTGTGTTCGCTGCGAAGCATCTCGCTCCAGTGCTGCTGTATACTGATGGTGAGAGAGGGAGGTAAACGAGTTTATATAACCGCTTAGGGGTTGCAGGATGTTTGGTAACCTGGTTAGCAACACCGGTGCTCGATCGAGTCCAGTGATGGTACGGCGCTGGCCACGCTCTTGGGATTGTCCGGCTATGCTGATGCAGCATAACAGCAGACACTTGTTTTTTTGTCATGTTAAAGCGTAAGGTACTTTGTTAATCGATACTTGTGCTAAGAGAAGAGCTGTATTGGTTTTTCTCTCTTTATACACCACGTAAGAGGCGTGGACACTCTCACGCAATGCAAGAGTACAAAGTACATACGACTACATGTCCATATCTACTTAAACGTCATACATGGTTGTAAAACTCATAAGATTAGCTTCCATATTCCTACGCCAGTATATCTGATCAGCACTAGTTTGTTGTTTAGCCGCCATTTGTCGTGCATCCTGCCTGAGTACGCAAAGTGTTCTCATAATTTCGGCGGCGGCAGCTCTATCAGCGCTGCAGTACGCACTGGTGCTGCAATCGATATCGGTAGCTTGACAAGAGAGCGTCCATCGACATAATCAGCAACTCGACAAGAGCGTGGCCATCACGACATAAACAGGCAATCAGGAGACAGTACATAGCTACAGTATTAAAGCCGGTTATGTGGCCTCATTACGATGACAGTGTCGCCAAATCTCGATATGTCGGGGACGGAAAGCAATGATTAGAAAAGGTCGATGCACTTTACCAATAAATTAATGAGGCAGCTTTTCTTTTTACTTGGTGACCAATAGTGACGAGCTTTTTAGCTGCAGTTTCTACGACTGGTTAAAGATAGGCAAAAAGCAAATCTGGAATCTTTTTCCTATTGGCTAAAAATCAAGCATAGGGTGTCGCCAGTCAGCAGGATGCGCAGTTGCCATTTCTTACCTTACAACAGCAACACACCAGAATGAGCGCGTACTTAAACGGGTACGACTCGGAGCACATGCTCTTTCATCAACCTATCGCTACGGGACCACTAACTGTCGAAGATCTTGATGATGACGACTGCTTCTCTGACTTTGATGCTGTAGAACGGGACATTGACGCTGAGATCGAGGCGCGGCAGCATGAGAAGCCTCGCGTTGCAGCGCGTGTCTCGCCTCCTTCTCCGTCATCTTCTCCTCGCACAATATCGCAACGGATGTTGCAAGTATTGCAGCAAAATCGCACGCGGAGCCGAGCTGCAGCTGCAGGTGCAGATTCGATGCCACCACGTAGACGAATGCCGAGAGCTGTAGAAAAAACCGTTGGAAACTCGGCAGCTGATTTGCACTCGATGGGAAATAAGAAGACGTCTCCGGCTAATACTGTGAAAATGACAGATACCACATTGGATACATCGCTATCGTCGCGCCCCAGGTCCTCGTGCACGGATCGATTGGAAGCTAGAATCTCCAAGAGTTTTCAAACGCAACGAGGCAATGGACTTGGATGTAGAGCGGTGGAGGAAGAACCAGATGTGTCATTGCTATACTTGGAAAGAGAGACGTATCCGGCCGAGTCTGTGAGGAAGACCGTGCACGCAAGACTGTCAGATAATCGGTCTAGGAATGCGTCTACGCCTCAAGAGACCAAAATGATGGAGATTATGGACAAGGAACGAGCCATGAACGTTTTCCGATCAGAGATGTCTTGTCCTGAGAGATCGTCAAGTGCTAAGAAGAATAATGGGGTGATGTTCCACTTCAGACGAGGGAAGTCGGTAAAGAACGATGTGTTGGATGGGCGACTGGAGAGATTGGCGTTGACGAATGGTAGACCTGACGATCGTGTAGAGAATACATTAGTGAAAGCGCAACCTCTGAAGCATGTAACAGACCCAGAGTACACGGCCTTAGCCTTGCAATTGGCTGAGACGGAATCGCTGGTGGATAGCATTGAGAGCTGCATGAAGAAGCCGTCATTCCTCGAATTGGCTGCGCGTGTTTTGAACGAGATGCAGTTGCTCTTGAAGACGACACAGCAAATTCGTGCAAATGGAACGACATTGATCTTGGCCAGCGTGAGCAAGCGCCAGAATGCTGATTTTACGCAAGCACTTCGACGCCTGGTAGCGAAAGCAGCATCGGTTCAAATGCGCATTGGCGCGCTCATGGATGCGATCAAGCAGCTTATGGTGTGAACAGTTAGTGGTGGCCGTCTAGCATAATTGGAGCGTCATGTGAGTCATTCGTAGCTCTTCCAGTTGAAGATGTTTGCTAGCGTCAAAATGTACCGGCTGGTGCTCAAGTCGGAATTGGCTACTTGGTCAGCCTCTGTTTCCGTTTTAACTATTATTACGATTTATAACGCGACGGTCAGATCAGGTTGCGATTGAAGCAGTTGTGATGTCCGTAGACGCGTGTATTGTCTGCAATTGTGGCGTGTTTGTTGAGTCTCCATACATCTTTAAGTATTTCTTAATTTCATTGATGGATAGCGTCCTTTCATTCCACGCTCGTGTGCTGCAGCAGCAGCATTTCATCAAAAAGAGCACATCAAATACAGTGGGTTTTACGGAAAGAGCACGGGGGCGTTAATGATTTTCTTAGCTTTGACTAAGCGCTAACAAAATCAAAAGTGATGAGGAAGGACTTAGAAGCAAAAGTTACGACTGTTGAAGGTTTTGACTTCACAAGCTTGCGCTTGATGTCGGCCACGGCGTCAAGCAACTCGAATACTGGCTCGGACTAAGAATCGCACGCTCGGGAGTAAATTCGCTTCGACATACGTTTTGCTCTTGCTGTGCTTTGTCAGCTCGTAATACATTGAGACAGATCTATCGCTTGCTCAAACTACGTTTATGAATGCACTAAAACTGCTTAAATAGCCCGGCATCTTATCCACTGATCCGTTCACATTCGGAAAGTAGGCCTATTATGTGGTAGAATATAAGTAGTCAAAGCATTAGCTGATCTGTTTACGGTCGACAAAGAGTACGAGTAGTGCACCTTTTTGAGAGGAATCCGGCTCGCTGCGACGGTTGCAGCGGAGTTTTCGGGCGCATGATTCGAGTTCTTGATCCCCCTATGGGCTGTACGGAAGGGCGTAAGGACCCTTCTGTAGCCGTAAACACGTAAGGAATCCGAATCATAGAGAACGTAACAAAGACAACGCACCGATTTGGGGTCTTGAAAAGCGATCGAACATACCAACATTCGGTCTCTGAATCATGCGTGGTGTTTCTTGTCCTCCCATGCTCGCCATGGGATTCCGCGTCGACGAGCTAGATGTATCGACCGCGTATGATCTTCCCATCGGTCTCATCGCTGGACGGTTGAATTGGCTGGCTTGCGAAACGAGTGTACCACCTTCTTGATGCATCATGCCCATCGTTGAACGGGTCGGAGACGGAAATTGGCGAGCACCAGGTTGTGCTTTCAGTGTCTTGCACTGATAAATGTAGATTGAGTCACGTGTCCTACATTTGGCCAGAACAATTTGAAGTCTCACCATTTTTTCCCAGTTCCGGCATTTTCTTGACTTTTCCTTGTATGCCTGTAGTCGTACAATGAGCACCTTAACGCGATGGCATGACAACTACCTGTCGAATGCGAACTAACCTCGCGAAGCTCATCGTTTGAATTTGTCAGAGTTTGCATCTTTGACTTTGTTTCGCGTAGCTCCGCCTCAAGCTGGTCAGTGTAAGACTTCAATTGGATGTACTTTTCTCCATGCTGAATTTGAAACGCCTTCTGTTCCTCCGCTGCGGTGTAGGAATTCATATTGCCTTTAGGTTCAACTTTGTAGGACCATCACGATACCAAACAAACCTTGTTGGCGTCTGATTTCTTCCTATCGAGGCAAGGCAACTTAAACGTAAGACCGCAAAATTATAAGAACCTTATCATTGATATGACGTTCACCTGTCTGCTCAGAAAGTAGTCAGCATAACAATGCATATCCATTTAGCACACCGACTTACCTGTACGAATCTTGGGCTAGCTGAAACTGCAGTGGGAATTGACGGTCAGTATTTCCAGACCAAGCATCTATATCACTTTCCGTCGCATGAATACCAATATAAAATCTGCAAAGATACATTGTCAGTATCCTGCCAACATACTTGTGACACTGCTGTGCGGTTCAATATACCTAGTGCTTGCTGAAAGTGCTCTGTGTATAATTGCACCAATAGTGATTTGGGTCAATCATCAGTCCATATTCTTCAACAATAACAAGTCCGTACCAAAGCATGACGACGGATCCGCCATCATTTCTTCCCAAATGGCCTACACAAAGCTCAACGGGATGAGACTCGCAATTGCACCCTCACAGAACCAAACAACTATGCTTATTTTGTAAACAACCTCCGTCCTCTGGTCATATAAAATACCACCTCGTTAGTAGCAGTTTCAATCGCATCAGTACAGTATCAGCCTGTCGCACCTTAGCATCCGCTATGCCATGAATTGTTCTACAAAAGTGTCAGTAACTATAATATCAAAAAAAGAAATGTATCTCTTCATGTGCACGATTACGTTTCAGAGATCCCGCCACGTCTTCAAAGAGAGACACAATTCAATCAGGTATCAAACACCAAGAAATGACACCAGATCTAGTGAGCCTTACCCTTGACTCAAGTCTGCAAACAAATTAATACAAGAAAACATCTATCGATCAGCTCATCACTTCAATTCGCTACAAACTCGTTCAGCTAGTCGTCTACCGATTCGACAGACAGGACACTCCAGTCGTCCCTGTCCAAAGTGCTTGTACGCGCATTTCTCCTGCAGCATCCACGCCGTATCAGAGCTATCATCCGTCTATACGAAGACAAATATAGATTTGCTGCCTACACAGAACAAGTGCCCGCAGCTCGTCCGGTAGCACGTCTCAGCAGATTGCGCGTCGGGCAGGATCGGCTCCCAGCACGCGTTGCAGCGTAGCTGCGGTCGGATATGCGCCCCACCGAGTGTAGTCACATCGCCAGCGCCGTCCATATCCCCCACCGTCGATGACGCATGCCGCGTGCCGCGATTGCGAGCGCTTGATGTCTCACTCATACGGCTGTCGTCATCCATGGCGCGCTCGAGCAATGCGGAAAAAGTAGTGCGGGAGACCAGGAGTGATGTTCACTTCAACTTCGTAAGTTTCTATACGATAGCATTTCTAAACCTTCCAGCATGGTATTTCTAAAACACCACATTTCGATTTCTATATAACCTGCAAAGCAACTTTTCGGGCTAATTTTAGTACATGCATCCGTAATTGTTAAGCATGGCGGACGTCACCGCCGTGGAGAAGGAGCAGGACATAAACGGATGGTATGAGATTGAGGAGACACTAACAGCACTAGATCTTCCACCCGTTCCTCCTACATCCGACCCACAGCGACTGCTAGGCTATGTGCTGCACATTCTTCCTCGCTACACCGAGATGGAGATGCTGGCAACGCATTTGTGGCTTTACGCATCGACTTTAGAGAAGGACATGGAGCAGGTTAAGAGTCATATACGTTTATTGACACGCGAGGCGACGGGTGAGCGAGAGAAGAAGCGGTTCCTCGAGCGATATGCGGCGCAGGTGGTTAAGGAGCGCAACGACCTACTGCATTCGAGAGGATCTTCCAAGAAAAAAACAGCAACATCCTCACACTTTGTATGGCACAGTTGCTGCAAGAAGAATGCACACCATGCAATGGACTTGGCCCCGTCAATTGTGGCTTTTCGAGGAGAGAAGCTACAGGAAGCGACGAAGCAGGTTGAATCTCTGCAGGACGAAGTGCACAACCATGAACTGCTGCGAAGAGAGCTCGACTTTCTGCTCAAGAAGACTCAACGCGAACATGACAGTAAAGTAGCGGCGGATTGCAAACACATTCAACAGTTGGAGAAACAAATTCTGCAGCGCTCGTCTCTACACTCGAATCTGGAAAGAAAGCTGTACGAAGTCGAGTCGATGCTTGCTCGGCATGAAGGATCCAAGGAAGAGGAGCTGGGTATAGTCTGCAATCGTATGAAAGAGGCGAAAGCTCGTATTGATAAGTTGGAAAAGGAAAATAGTAGGTTGCAAGAGCAGTTGAAAACGTTTGATGACGATAGAGATCGGTTGAAGGTGTTGCTCGAAGAAACAACAGAGTCCAAGAATGTCTTTGCGAAGAATATTGACACGTTGTCCGAGAAATGTCACTCTCTAGAGTCTGAGGTAGAATCCTTGCGATCCGAGATTAAAATGTTGCAAAGCACGGATATCAATGACATTCGCGCACAGTACGCTACCAGGATAAATCGGCTGCAGAAGGACAGTGCTGTGAGTAAGGAAAATTTGCGCCAAGAGATCGACCGTCTGAAGCAGGATTTGAAAAAGCGCGATGAATCACCAACACAGGAAGTAAGTGTACGTCAATCTTCTACAAGGGGAAGTTCCAGACGCGCTCTCTCAAGTTTAACGAGCGGCTTGGAAAGCATCCCTCATTCAGGTGACGATTCCAAATGGAGTGATGGTATCTTTGACGATGATCGTCAATTGGATGAGTGATGGAATGCGGTCCTCTTTTCCAAGAAATGAGTTATCAGAGTCGGATGAATCTTTTGGCTCATCATCTTTGAGTGGGGAAAGCCGGTTGAACCAAGTTGATGCTGACAACCACAGTTTTGACAACCAAAGTTTTTCAATGCAGAGCTACAAGAAACATTCACCCCGTCAAAGTTACGTCAGTTCTAGCAAACAAGGATATTCGAGAGAACTAGAGGCAGTTTCCAGAGATCTAAGTACGTCGTCCAAAGATTCCGACGCACAAACTCACGAAAATGATCCGGACATAAATGCTTCCAATGAGCCATTTGACTGGGAGACGTTTATTGACAACGCTTCTGAGATATCTACCTTCCAAGATGAGCACAGAAAACGCTCCCCTTCAACTATTGCAAGGCACTTGGACCTTAATACTAGCATAATACGTCACGATAATAGCTTCTTGAGAATGTCCGGTTCCAGGTTGAAAGCGTCAAGTCTGGCTCGTATGGACACTTTCGTGGGCGAGCAGCAACAAGCTGGCGAAGAAAATTGTCATTTCTCCAATGCAATTGATAGTGTATTGCTTTTCAACCAAAGCCTTGCTGAACCGGAGCTTGATTGCGACGAGGAAGAAAAGGAGTCTAATAAGGATGACTTGCTCGTGGATAACAAGCAGGAGCAGCGTGACAGTCGAATTGTGGATACTAGAGTCAAGCAAGAACAACGTGAAGAAAGCGCTATGGAGGAAGAGCATGGTCAAAACAAATTGGCTCGAGATTTATATCAAATGCTTAACGGAATCGAGCAGAAACGCAAAGAGGAGGAGCAAAAGGCCTCACAGGCGGAGCAGGCTTTGCTAGAGTTTCAGCAGTTACAGCAAGGTCTTCAGGCCTTGCAAATCTCTCCTGTCTTGCCAGATGAATCGAGCTGAGCTGTTTTGCACGTGGCTTGCTCAAGTTACAGCTCGTACTAAATAAGCGATGTCGGTCCAATCGTGTCCTTGACTTTGTGGTCGGCCGGTTGCGGACGGGCCTCATACACGCACTCAACCACACCATGACGCCACTGAGCACATCAGAAAGGAAACAGTTCAATGTCAGTGTTAACATCCTCGATCGATCCAACGCCACGGCACCTTTTTGCTTTCACCCTTGAGTCCAATATAATAAATCTTTGTTTCGTCACCTCCGTAGCTGTCCTCGAAAACAAGCGTCACATTGCAAACACCTTGAAACTTCCGCACCCTATAGCAATATAAACGTTAGTGATACCTTCTCACCCCCCCCCAGCCAAAGTAAGTCGTACTGGAGCGGGTAATCGATATTGGCCGAGTCGTCCTCGACGAGATCCAATTTCTGCTGTGCTGGCAGCTCATTTGCGTTGGAAAAGTCGATATCTTCTCGATTAGTGAACCTAAATCAATGCCACATGCCAACGTTAAAGTCTCGCACCATCCTTCTCTTAGCTATAAAGCTTCGTACAGTTTGACTACTTTCGGATGAGTACCATCTCCTGCAGTGCCTGAAATGCAGATCGACTTGATGCTCACAGCCTCTGTAAAAGGAATAAACAAAACCATTTCCGGATCGTCGTCGTTGCTCGCCAAGAAGCGTGAGCGGTCCCGACGCTCGTGGAACGACTTGAACGGATTTGCGACAGCCAATGGGTCTAATGCATTGAGCACTCGCAATTTGCTAATGTCAATGAACGGGTAGAGTGAGTCTCCGTTGGCGTCCTCCACCTCGTCGTCATGGTCGTGATTATGATCATGATTGTGGCCGTGGTCATGACCACCGAGTGCCGAGTGTTCGTCGTGGCAGTGTTGCATCTTGGAAAGAGCTTGCAGAATAATGTCACTGATTGGTTGAAATGCACAATGGAGTGTGTATGCGTATCTGCTAGCGATGGACTGTTCGGCGAGTGTGTCTCTCCAACGGATCGGACGTTCGTGGCTGTGGATGGAGGTGATACTTTTACGATTGGAATATTGGCTGACAGTGGGGAAGTGGTTGGATGGGGACGAGCGTTCTACGGCGAGTTGCCAGAGGAGCTCGTGCACATGAAGCAATGCAAAGCAGTGGCTTGCGGCTCAAACCACGTCTTAGCTCTGACAGATTCAGGTCACGTGGTGGCGTGGGGGTGGAACAGGTCGGGTCAAGTCGCAGCAACAGCAACAGAAAAACAAATTGTGCGTGTTCCGATGGCCGTGGAGTTTCCTATTGCACCGCAACGCAATGTGCCTGTGCAGATTGTCGAGGTAGCTGCTGGAGGGATGCACTCGATGGCACTTGACACCTGTGGCCGAGTCTGGGCGTGGGGATGCAATGTGTATGGACAATCGGGAACTGGCTCAGATATGAAGAAAGTGGACGTGCTATCACATGTTGCACTGCCATCCGAAGTCCATGTCAAACATATTGCAGCAGGGTGGGCCCACAGTGCGCTAATCTCTACGACAGGCGAGGTGTTCACTTTCGGTTGGGGGCTGTACAACCAGCTTGGCCACGGCTCCCCTCAAAACGAGCTTCGTCCTGTTATCGTTGATGCTCTTCGAGGACTTGACAGTGACGTCGTGCAGGTTGCGTGCGGCAATTGGCACACAGCAGGTATGCTCCATACTTATTGTTTGATGCTTGCAGCCAAGCCTTCCGATCTTATTAATTGATGACAATCGCATGCCTAGCACTGACAGCGTCCGGTGACCTGTACACGTGGGGCTGGGGTAAGGATGGTCAATTGGTACGTTCTTGATGCCAAGTTGCCACGTTCATATATGTTTTTTTTGCATTTACATTCGTCTTATTTTAGGCTCATGAAGCTTCAGTCTCGATGCAAGTGATTCCTCGGGTCGTGAGCGTATTATCAAGTCCAGCGGCGAGCGACGACGCCAAGGACGTGATGGCCGTCGCGTGTGGCAACCGCTACACCTTGGCAGCGTGTCGAGACGGTTCCGTCCAGTGGTGGGGCCAAAAGCCAGCAGGATTTGAGTTACACGGTATTGTGACCTGTCCGGAATCACCACAACATACAGAGTGGCTACCTCAGAACGGACGTCATGTGCGCAAGCTCGCAGCTGGCAACTCGCACGCTCTTATACTGCTAGAAAAAGAGCACGAACAAGAAATATTGAAGGCACAAAGTAACAATGCGCAACCACGGCATGTTGTTTCACGTTGATTGGCGTCGAAGCCGCTGGAGGAGGGAGGTTTGCATGAATCTAAAACTTCTGCTAAACTCCACTATCTTTGTAAAAAATTGGTTTGACCATATGGCCAACAAGTTCTCCATCATGACACAAGTGTGCGAAGAAATGGGTCACAGAACTCATTCTAAAGATGTGATTACATGACAGTGCAGCCACAGATTCCACAGGCACCGGCTGACTCTTCTGCCTTCTTCTTGTCCGCCTTCTTGTCCGCCTTCTTGTCCGCCTTCTTCTCTTCCTTGGCCACCTTCCGGTCCTCCTTAAGCTTCTTCACCTTGGCCACACTATCGTTCTTGTATCCCTCTACGGTGCTCGTCACCTTGGCGGTGACGTCCTTGGCGTCCTCCACCACCTTCCGCGTCTTGTCCTTGATCTTCTCAGTCGTGCCGGCTTTCGGTTTAGCAGCAGCATTCCACACCACGTGCTCTTCCTTCTTGGCATGTTGCGTGTGGGCAGCGGGTTTAGGAGCTTTTAAGGACTCATGACCAGGCACGGGGGCGTTCCACGGTGAGTCCGACATGATGAAGATTGCGAGTTTGTAGCTTGAGTCGGGTCGAGGCGAATCTGCAAATGAGTCGAAACTGATTCAAATGGATGTTTGTCACATCTAGTCAGCTTCTCAGCCAATCATAAGTGCAGAAGTGAATGAAAAATATACTATCCAGTAAAAGTCAATCAGTGGCGGTTAAATAAACTGTAATCCAGGCCCATTCTCAATGCAAATCAAAGCTAACGTATCTTAAGTCTTACCGGCACCTCGCTTTAAAGAGCGAGCGCCTCACAAAAGCAAGGTACGCCACGAAGTAATAAAGCAAGCTACTGGATGCTGCAGCCGCCGACACCACAGGCACCACATGCTCCAGGCGCATCCGCCGATTTGGCGGCAGCCGCTTCGACGGTCGGGACCTTCTTGATCTTGCTCACGCTGTCAACCTTGTAGCTGGCTACGCCGTCAAATGCGTTCGCTATGGCCTTCTTATCAATCTTACCGTTCTCGACCACAACCTCCGTGGTCATGAGGGCATCCTTGGCGGCCGCTACAGGCGCCTCCTTGGTCACCTCTTCTACGACGGCAGGTTCCTGGACGGGCTTCACTTCCTTTATTGACTTTGCCTTCTCAATCTCATCAGCCTTAACCTCCTGTACAGAAGTCGTGTTCCAGGCCGAGGATGTAGCAAACATCACCTTCTCTGCTTCCACAAAAGCAGCAATCTCCTCAACCGGCGCCTCGGCCAATTCGATCACTTCCTGTTTGATCGGCTCCTCTTTAACGGGAGCAGCCTCCATCATAACTTCCTTCTGGACAGAAGTTGAATTCCATACGCCAGTCGGCAGGCCATCTTCTTCAATAGGTGATTCTGCAACGGGCTTACGAGCCATCATCACAAGTTCTGGCTTCTCCGCGGCTGGCTCAGGTGTCTCCACTGCCAGGTCTGGCGTGACTATCTCGACAAACGCAGCTTCTTGCTGAACAGATGCCGCAGTCCACGGGCTAGCTGTCTCCACAGGTGCTTCCTCAACAGGACACGACTCAACTTCCGCCTCAACAGCAGCGGGTTCTACCACCGGCTCAACGACTTCTTCCTGAGCGACAGGCCTTTCCACAGCGGCTTCCACCTTCACCACAGCAGGGACGACTTCGTCCGAAACAGGAGCAGAAGTCCATGCACTCGATGCGGCTTCTCCAACTGAAGCCGTCGTCCCAGCAGTAGAAGCTGCACAGGGGAGTTTTTCCTCCTTGTGCGGAGCGACAATTTTGTCGACAACCACAAGAGGAGTCTCTTCAGCAGGTTCAACCGGGGCAGATACAGCAACTACTGTAGGCTCTTCCGCGACTCCAGCCTTCCCCAAAACAGCTGCCTCTTTGGCAACATGCGCCATCGTCCACGCACTTGCAGCCGCTTCCTGCACGGGGACACTGGTCCACGCACTCGTCGTCCGCTCGCCCTGCGTCTGCATTTCTGGCTCCTCCTCCTCCACGGTCGCCATCTCTTCTGCCACGACTTCTTCTACAACAGGAACGATTCTCTCCTCGATAAGAGCAAGTGTCTCTTCTTTGGCCTGCTCCGCTGACGTCCACGCGGACGCCGATACCGTCTTTTCAACCTTCACAATAGGCGCCACCACCCAAGCCGATGACGCAACGGGTTCCTCTGCCTCCTTCGTGGGTTCAAACGCCGCCGAGAAAGCGGATGCAGGCTTTGTCGTCGCCGGTCGATTTTTCATTACAGCGGAACTGATCACATCAGGCTCGGGTTCCGTCTCTGTGAGCGACAAAGACGTTTCCGGGGACTTGAACGGATTGCTGGTCTGGAAAGGGGACACAGCCCACGGGCTCACGGCCTTCGGACTGGCGCTGGCGACGGGCGCACTATTCCATGGGCTGCTGTTCTCAGAGCTCATGCTGGCGGACGACTTGCACTGCTTAAGGAGTTTATTCACTGCAAACATTCACGACAGAGAGACAAGGGTTACACAAGTGAGTAGGCAGTAAACGCACGGGGGGGCGCAGGTAGATGCCTGTTGGGCATATCTACCGTGACACTTGGAAACTGTATTCAGTCGCTATGTCCCGCTTTGTCTGCCTCGCTCTAGTTTCTTTGAGAGCAGACTTGGGCACTTTTAATTGAACGCACCGCTGTGTTTCTTGATGCCGCTTCGAGCCGAACTCGGGATTGTTCGAAATGACCTGGTGGATCTTAAAAAAAAACTTCGTGCTCGTGCGGCTGCCTGGCTCTTGCCGTTTCTTATTTCAGTGAGTTCAGACTACAAATTCGGAAAAAGAAATCAGGAGGCGCTTGTATTAGATGCGATCAAGCCCGGCTACACCATACGTAACCTGATTTCCCTGACCATACACCTGTTGCTAAAGACGGGGAGAGTCTCTATAGAAATTTGAAGAGAAAGTGGTACTTGTGTAGGAAAAGAAGCAGTCTTGACAAAAACTAAATACTGACGCCGCCGTAAGTCGACTACTGACCATCACAAGTAGTGCTGGCTCGCGTTCGTACTACTGCGCAATATATGTTTAGTAGCTCGGAATTTAAGGCATTTACGCTATGGTGTCCTTATAGCGTACAAGGGTAACTCGCTCATACTATAACAGTGCCTTATTCACTATTGACAGCTAGAACCATTGTCCAGAAAGAAATGTCGCACCCATTTTGTTCTGCAGGTTATCGAGTATCCAGCAATCCTTGTACATTCTCGCACGACCCTTACACCAAACAATGAGCGTACTGATCTTCCTCAATACAGCGATTTTATTTGAAGAAATTCCAGTACTCCGTCATGGCCAACGACTAGATATTAGGGTACCAGGTAGGGCAAGTCGCAAATTGGGCTTACAGATTCGAAACGTTAGAAAGTGTCTAGCCACCGCGGCAAGCCTTTTAACCTCAGTGTCGCCATTAGCATATTGCTACTAAAATGCTATCATGCTGCTGTGTTATTCTTCGCTGCGGTCTGCCGGCTGGTAACCATCAACCACATGCACGCTTTCAAGGCACTACAACGCCAAACCGTTCCATCGCGCCAAACGAAAGCTATATCCAGCTCTTCCCAATCACCAGGCTAAAAAACGGCGGCAATCATCAGGCTAAAACATTGAGACGGCTAACAGGATGGCAACCACTTTCCGATGTCGAAGTCACACGGCATCTTGGAACACTCACACTCTTACGGACTATCAGGTCTCAGTATGCTACAGAGTAGCTACTTATCAGTTGAGTCTGTACTTTCTGGGACGCGAAATGGACTCGAAATGCAAAAGGGACCTGGCGTGCACCGGGCAACACAAAGGACTCCTACATATCGTCTGCGACTGCGTAGGAGCAGCCAAGTCTTGGGCATACATTATTACGCAGTGGACGCGATCGGAGATATTATTAGCTTAAATGCTCTAGTACAACAAGCAGCGTTATCAGGATCAGCACCGGAGCTGTCTAGAGAGTGGAGGCTGATATCGACCATATATCGCTATATCATAGGCCGGACCTGGAAGTAAATATGGCGGAACGCTCACTTCGTCTGCGTGACCAGTCTATAAATTCGGCGAAATAGGAGTATCCATAAGCAGGAAGTGCGTCCTGGGAGCAAGAGGTAGCGGAAGTCAAACAAGTCCATCTTCGCCAACTTCGAGCGGTCGCTATCAAGGAACAACGAGGATATAGGAATAGGAGCAACGGCGTCTTCCTCCTCTAGCAACAATAATATTTCAAGGCACTATCGTCAACCGGTAGCCGGCACTGCACAGCCCTCGTAAACGAGAGTAGACATCTCCTGGGGTATTAGAATGGCTGCGGACTCTTCAGAATTCTGTAAATTATTTCGACAATCTGTTTCCACCACATCGAATTGGAAGTAACCATCGATGAAAATTGATACTGCGAACTGACCTTATGAGATTGCAATTTATAATTCAGCCAAATTGAATGGCTGGGCTGCTCTGCGTCGCAACAACGCCGGTAGCAATAAACTCGCAAGAAACCAAGAGCTTCATACAAGAAGTATATACATTGTGTGAACGACTGATACTCAAAAATGACGACGCAGACTCCGGCCAAGTTGAACGTGGACTACGTGCCCGTGGAGGCTGAGCGCTCCACAAGCAGCGCTGGCGTAGCGAGACCGTGCGTCTTATGGCCATGGATCATACGAAGTGTGTGTATCACCAGCACTTAGAATATGGTGCTTACTTGGTGGTGACACCGATGAATATGATGGAGTATCCTCACGGAGAGGAACCACGACCTCTAGTTCATGAGAAAGGATATGTCGTCTGTCGTGACCACATCAAGGACAAGTTGATCCATTCAGCGGCCACCCTCGATAAGCCTGCATTTCTCATCGAGATTGAGTTGCTTAAGGAAAAGGCTGATGTCATGCTGAATGGACACTTACCGTTGCACCCTGGAATCAAGATACTTAAGAACGATCCAGGATGTTGTGTGTACGGCTTCGAGTTGCAGAACGATGACCAGGCTGAAATCGCACTCAACTTGCCAACTGAAGCCGTGTTGGTAGCGCTAGACGACTGTGAAGTGGAGATCACCAAAGCTTCAAGCAACAAGCAAGAAGATACCACGCACCAGGTCGTGCTGAAAGTTGGTGGCGATGTCCAACTGCTTGCTGGCAAGTTCGGTATCAAGTTTGTGTCTTCAGCTTCGAAGAAGGCGCAATTCCATTTGGTTGAGGTGTATTAGCGTCATCGTGGGCCAGGAGAAATTGGCATGAAAGTCGAATGTTAAAGGGTAACTAAACTAACTACAGAATAAATTGGTAATAAAGTCAAATTCTGAGGATACCCAAACCAATAACTTTTTAATTTCATCTTGTCAGCAGTCCTCGTCAACTCAATTGCATTACATCGGTACGCGCCAATACTGTATCTTGAAGTCGTGTTTGAAGATGTACGACTCGACGAATCCCGGATACGTAACAGTAGACGTCTGGTAGTTGTAAATCAGCGCTTTGCGCTCCACCTTAGGGTCCTTGAAGCGCAGCTCGTTCTTCCGCGCCTCATTGATGAAAAAGTTAGCAAAATACTGTCCACTTGCGATGCCTTCACGAGAGTGGTCAATCACCTCGTAAGGGGTGCCGTCCAGGTATTCTCCGTACTCAAAGCTGTTCTTTTCAGGATGGAATTGCACGGCGTAGACTGGATATACTTTGGCTTCAAAAGCCGAAATGAACTCAACCCCTTGACGATCTACATTGGTGGCCAACACAGTGTAAAAGTTTGTGAGGGATGAGTACTGGCTGAACCTATCGGGAGTGATGCCTTGCTTGTGGTTGTTCATAGTGATAGGCTTGTCCTTGAGCCACGAGTAAAGCTCGGGACTGGCTTGACTGAACAGCCGACTGGTCGGAGCTTCCTTAGTGAAGTTCAAAGGCAGAGTGATGTTCGTAGAGTCTAGTCCCTTGTTTAAAGACTCCACGTTCCCCGTAGTAAGTTGCACGAGCCACTCAAAACCCAGACAGGTGGCCCAGACAGGGAAGTACACGCCTTTGTCATTAAGCTTCAGCGCCAATTGGAATAGCCACTCAGCGCGGTCATTGACGGTAGCGGCTCCACCTGGAAACAAGAGGCCGTTGAGCTGCGGCAGCAGTTGCTCCAGATATGGCTTGGGCGCGTTGTACGGGATGGGGACCACGCGACCACCCGCGCTCTCGACCCACTTGACATACGATGCCGCGATGTACTCGCCATGATGGGAGCTCGGATGCGCGAAGACGCCGATAATTGGACCGCGAGCACTGGCGGCGGCGACGGAGAAAAAGCCCAAGACCACCGAGAAGATGAACGAAGTTATCAATGTGAATGCCATGGTGAAGTTGAGGATCTGATCGAATAATTTGAGGTGGGAAGGTAGAGATATCCAATTGGTAGATTATCACTCAGCATTTAAATAATCTGATTATTTCGTTTTAATCAATCAGAATTTTTAGATGCTGAGTACGTGTTTAGTATGTAAGTTGTAAGAAAATAGCCAATCATACTTTAGTACATTAACTCGTATGGGTGTGTGTTTCGAAACCTTGCAGCAACTTAACACAAAGCGCACTATCACGCACAGCCAAACCGCAGCACCATGCGCAGCACATCGCGCAATCCAACGTACACACACCACCTGCCTAAGGTACACGCAAAGGAACCAGCAGTGACTTATCATCAAGGTTGACAAAATAGTCATCGCAATGGTATGAACTGACGGATGCCTGCTTCGTTTGCTCTTATTCGATGCAATGCAAAGCAACACAGAAAGCAAAATCAATGGATCAAGAAGGACAACAAAGTGCCTAGGCAGTCGGGGGCAAATTGGCAAATGAACGAGCTCACTACAATTCCTCGCGCAGTTTAAGTTAGTCATCAGACGTGCTGCAAGTACGGTTACATCTGAAGCGTGTTGTTCGTATTAGTGCCTAGTCCTTTCACGGGATCACGCGAGAACCCCAGTGTGTCGTCATGTACGCGTTGTAACGACATTGATGAATGACATTCAGAATGTAACGTATCCCAGACCTCGTCGTCCAGCCCAAAACAAACAGCTACATTTGCTTCAGATTAAGCACTTAGCCTCCGCATCTGTGTGCTATTGCAAGCTTCCTCATTGCTACGTGTGTGAGAATGATGGACCATCATTACCTGGTCTGTTAGTCCACTTGAATCTATATAGTGTCATCATCATCAGGCTGGCCGCAGCACTTGTATCTTCCTTTCTTCAGCTTGCAGATCTTTCCCATGTAAGCGAAGCTCGTGGACCATCCTTCGGGCTTTCCTCCCATCTGGGCCATCTTTGCCTCGCAGTCAGTCGCCCATGTTTGCCAGTTCGTCAGCGCACCGCATAGTTCATGTCACCGTTCATGATCGATTGTGTGCATCCGATGCGCCGCTGAAAGGACGTAATACTTGAGGCTAGTCGACGAGGCGCTAAGAGCGCGGCGAAAGTAGGTGCAGTAGAATGCTTGTTAGTATAATGGGGTAAATGAAGGAGAATGCAGTTCCACCAGTGATGCCGTTCACCCGAGCATTGTATCACGAAAGCAACAGGCTAAACATAACACACGCACACAAGCACAGCTCGCTCACGCGTGGTAAGAGCCGACCGCAAAGAAGCAAACACCCCCCGTGGGGCTCGAACCCACGACCACTGGCTTAAAAGGCCAGCGCTCTACCAACTGAGCTAGACGGGTGTGTGTTTCGAAACCTTGCAGCAACTTAACACAAAGCGCACTATCACGCACAGCCAAACCGCAGCACCATGCGCAGCACATCGCGCAATCCAACGTACACACACCACCTGCCTAAGGTACACGCAAAGGAACCAGCAGTGACTTATCATCAAGGTTGACAAAATAGTCATCGCAATGGTATGAACTGACGGATGCCTGCTTCGTTTGCTCTTATTCGATGCAATGCAAAGCAACACAGAAAGCAAAATCAATGGATCAAGAAGGACAACAAAGTGCCTAGGCAGTCGGGGGCAAATTGGCAAATGAACGAGCTCACTACAATTCCTCGTGCAGTTTAAGTTAGTCATCAGACGTGCTGCAAGTACGGTTACATCTGAAGCGTGTTGTTCGTATTAGTGCCTAGTCCTTTCACGGGATCACGCGAGAACCCCAGTGTGTCGTCATGTACGCGTTGTAACGACATTGATGAATGACATTCAGAATGTAACGTATCCCAGACCTCGTCGTCCAGCCCAAAACAAACAGCTACATTTGCTTCAGATTAAGCACTTAGCCTCCGCATCTGTGTGCTATTGCAAGCTTCCTCATTGCTACGTGTGTGAGAATGATGGACCATCATTACCTGGTCTGTTAGTCCACTTGAATCTATATAGTGTCATCATCATCAGGCTGGCCGCAGCACTTGTATCTTCCTTTCTTCAGCTTGCAGATCTTTCCCATGTAAGCGAAGCTCGTGGACCATCCTTCGGGCTTTCCTCCCATCTGGGTCATCTTTGCCTCGCAGTCAGTCGCCCATGTTTGCCAGTTCGTCAGCGCACCGCATAGTTCATGTCACCGTTCATGATCGATTGTGTGCATCCGATGCGCCGCTGAAAGGACGTAATACTTGAGGCTAGTCGACGAGGCGCTAAGAGCGCGGCGAAAGTAGGTGCAGTAGAATGCTTGTTAGTATAATGGGGTAAATGAAGGAGAATGCAGTTCCACCAGTGATGCCGTTCACCCGAGCATTGTATCACGAAAGCAACAGGCTAAACATAACACACGCACACAAGCACAGCTCGCTCACGCGTGGTAAGAGCCGACCGCAAAGAAGCAAACACCCCCCGTGGGGCTCGAACCCACGACCACTGGCTTAAAAGGCCAGCGCTCTACCAACTGAGCTAGACGGGTGACCCCGGTGGCGTGGGGTAGTGGATTAGCTTCTGGTCCTCACGGTGTGGATTGCGGGTTCGAGCCCCACACCGGACATCTTCGTAATCGAACCACACATGGAGAGCGGTCGGCTCCATGCTAAATAATAACCGACCCCAATAACCGTAACGGTATAATACTAATAATAGAGGAAAAAGAATAGAAAAAATTCAGCCTTAGCGAGCTGTGTAATATCTTAGCCATAGCCGAGAAGGTATAGGTTGTGTAAAAGGTAATATACAACTAACTTAAAACTGAGCTAGACGGGTGTGTGTTTCGAAACCTTGCAGCAACTTAACACAAAGCGCACTATCACGCACAGCCAAACCGCAGCACCATGCGCAGCACATCGCGCAATCCAACGTACACACACCACCTGCCTAAGGTACACGCAAAGGAACCAGCAGTGACTTATCATCAAGGTTGACAAAATAGTCATCGCAATGGTATGAACTGACGGATGCCTGCTTCGTTTGCTCTTATTCGATGCAATGCAAAGCAACACAGAAAGCAAAATCAATGGATCAAGAAGGACAACAAAGTGCCTAGGCAGTCGGGGGCAAATTGGCAAATGAACGAGCTCACTACAATTCCTCGTGCAGTTTAAGTTAGTCATCAGACGTGCTGCAAGTACGGTTACATCTGAAGCGTGTTGTTCGTATTAGTGCCTAGTCCTTTCACGGGATCACGCGAGAACCCCAGTGTGTCGTCATGTACGCGTTGTAACGACATTGATGAATGACATTCAGAATGTAACGTATCCCAGACCTCGTCGTCCAGCCCAAAACAAACAGCTACATTTGCTTCAGATTAAGCACTTAGCCTCCGCATCTGTGTGCTATTGCAAGCTTCCTCATTGCTACGTGTGTGAGAATGATGGACCATCATTACCTGGTCTGTTAGTCCACTTGAATCTATATAGTGTCATCATCATCAGGCTGGCCGCAGCACTTGTATCTTCCTTTCTTCAGCTTGCAGATCTTTCCCATGTAAGCGAAGCTCGTGGACCATCCTTCGGGCTTTCCTCCCATCTGGGTCATCTTTGCCTCGCAGTCAGTCGCCCATGTTTGCCAGTTCGTCAGCGCACCGCATAGTTCATGTCACCGTTCATGATCGATTGTGTGCATCCGATGCGCCGCTGAAAGGACGTAATACTTGAGGCTAGTCGACGAGGCGCTAAGAGCGCGGCGAAAGTAGGTGCAGTAGAATGCTTGTTAGTATAATGGGGTAAATGAAGGAGAATGCAGTTCCACCAGTGATGCCGTTCACCCGAGCATTGTATCACGAAAGCAACAGGCTAAACATAACACACGCACACAAGCACAGCTCGCTCACGCGTGGTAAGAGCCGACCGCAAAGAAGCAAACACCCCCCGTGGGGCTCGAACCCACGACCACTGGCTTAAAAGGCCAGCGCTCTACCAACTGAGCTAGACGGGTGTGTGTTTCGAAACCTTGCAGCAACTTAACACAAAGCGCACTATCACGCACAGCCAAACCGCAGCACCATGCGCAGCACATCGCGCAATCCAACGTACACACACCACCTGCCTAAGGTACACGCAAAGGAACCAGCAGTGACTTATCATCAAGGTTGACAAAATAGTCATCGCAATGGTATGAACTGACGGATGCCTGCTTCGTTTGCTCTTATTCGATGCAATGCAAAGCAACACAGAAAGCAAAATCAATGGATCAAGAAGGACAACAAAGTGCCTAGGCAGTCGGGGGCAAATTGGCAAATGAACGAGCTCACTACAATTCCTCGTGCAGTTTAAGTTAGTCATCAGACGTGCTGCAAGTACGGTTACATCTGAAGCGTGTTGTTCGTATTAGTGCCTAGTCCTTTCACGGGATCACGCGAGAACCCCAGTGTGTCGTCATGTACGCGTTGTAACGACATTGATGAATGACATTCAGAATGTAACGTATCCCAGACCTCGTCGTCCAGCCCAAAACAAACAGCTACATTTGCTTCAGATTAAGCACTTAGCCTCCGCATCTGTGTGCTATTGCAAGCTTCCTCATTGCTACGTGTGTGAGAATGATGGACCATCATTACCTGGTCTGTTAGTCCACTTGAATCTATATAGTGTCATCATCATCAGGCTGGCCGCAGCACTTGTATCTTCCTTTCTTCAGCTTGCAGATCTTTCCCATGTAAGCGAAGCTCGTGGACCATCCTTCGGGCTTTCCTCCCATCTGGGTCATCTTTGCCTCGCAGTCAGTCGCCCATGTTTGCCAGTTCGTCAGCGCACCGCATAGTTCATGTCACCGTTCATGATCGATTGTGTGCATCCGATGCGCCGCTGAAAGGACGTAATACTTGAGGCTAGTCGACGAGGCGCTAAGAGCGCGGCGAAAGTAGGTGCAGTAGAATGCTTGTTAGTATAATGGGGTAAATGAAGGAGAATGCAGTTCCACCAGTGATGCCGTTCACCCGA